TAATTAGAATTGGAGTAAAGTTATATGTAAAATTGTCTTTTCGTCATTTTTTATTAGTGCTCCAAGTTAGATTTAGACATCTGTTTCCCGTATCTTTGCATTGTTCATTTTCTTGTGGCAGTTTTGTTTTGCTGGGTTGATCAAAAATTTGCGCATTCTCATTGGTTTCGAGATCATCAGAGGTCGGGAAGGAATAATTGATCGTGGGTGAGCTATGAACAAATTCATCATGTGATTCCGATTTGATGTTTGTCAGCTATCAGATCGAATTCACATGACGAATATGTTCATAAATCCGGGATCTATAAATCATGTGTTCACGTGACACATTAGCCACATGGTAATAATGTATGACGTTCATGATGCGAATAGTAATTTATCATGGTGCGAATAGCAGTTCCCAAAAAATATAATATATTAATTAATTTCTTCTATTATTTCTTTTTTTTAGCTATTAGATAAAGTAATATTTTTTTATTATTTTTTAAAGATATTTAATTAATGATAACTTGTTTTAATTATATGTAATTATTATAATAAGTTGAGTTACAAGGAATAAAATATTTTTCATATAATTTAATGTTAATAAATTCAAGTTTAACTAGTTATAATTATTATTTTGAAGTAATCTGCTAGTAAATAAAGTAAAAGATTCCAGCTGATGAGGCTTCTTCTAAACTATTATATTCAATATATTTAATTTTGTTTATAATATCTTTTTTTTGAATATATTAAAATAATATTATTTTTTTAATTTTATTATAAACTAAAATAATATTAATTTTGATATTAGATATACTGGAAAAGAATCACTTACTATTAAATTATAATAAACAAATCTAGTTGATCTTTTTATGAAAATATTTAAAGAAGTAGTTTGTTAATTAATATTATAATTATATTTGATTTTAAGAGAAATTAATATTAAAACTAGAATTATTGACTCTGATTATACTAAAAATATCAGTATCATCTTATATAACCAATCCAATAAAGATCACATAATTTAACCAAATAAAATTACTTAAGTAATATTTCTATAACTAATCTTTATTAAAAAATTATAACAAATTCAAACTTAATAAGAACTAGAAAAAACTAGTTATAGAACTGGTAAATTTGAATTTACTAATAGTAAAAACATGATGATATACTTCTTAAATCAAGAAAAAAATAACAAATCAATTGAATAATATGAATTAATAACAAAACAAGCTCAAGCTTTAAACCAATTACTAAATGAGTATAAAAATATATTTGTTATTGAATTTTATTAATTTGAATTAGCACTTTAATTAATATTTTAATTGATGTATTAATTAGAATATTTTGTTTAGTAAGTACAATTAATTAGAATATTATTCATAAATCAAATATTATTATCTTGTTCCTTTCCATCACTTTCAAACTATAACAATTTCAATAAAAATTAATATAGAACTTGAATATATTTTTTTATTATTCTTATATTGGATTTTTATTAATTTATATAAATATATAATAATAATTGTTATACAATAATATAATATTAATATTTTTAAGTTTTCTACATAATTTATTAAAACTAATACTTAAAAAATATAATTATAATAAAAATAATTATAAAAATTAATATTAGTTAAATTTAATAAAATAATTAAATTAATAATTAACTTTGTTTACAAAATTCCAAATAACTTACAAAAACTTATTCTAATTAAAATAATATTTAAATAAATTATATTAATTGTTGCTTTTATAATTGAATCAATAATATTTTGAAAATTTTATTCCTGTTTTGCTAAAAGAAAATAATATGTATTAGCTAATCCAGATATTTTTGAATAATTACTTGTTTTTTGTATAATATTTGTCCAGGATTTTCTACTAAAGATAACTTGACAAAATGTATACAAATAACAAATATTAATATATTCATGTTGATACTGGTGATGTTGCAGGTGTTGATAGGAGTCATTCATTACTTTTGCTATCGTTGCTGACATTAGAAATACCTTGCATATTAAAATATTATAATATTTTTATCAGTATATATGTATGTATCTATTATAATCAGAATAAAACAAACGAATATGTTAACCAAATACAATTTCGAGCCGATGTGTTAATAATTAAAGGTCGATAATAATTTGCATTGGAAATAATCAATTTCGCACAGAAATATTCCTTCAACGAAAACCCATGGGTTTATATTGAGTCGACGTTGTACACACAATGTGCTTTACTTTGTTCTTTCCACGGAAAAAGCGATGAATTGGTCACTTAAATTTGTTTAATGGCTTACCTTACCGTTATTAAATAGCGATAGATTAAATAGAAACGATTTCTCTGATTTTTGAAGAAAAAATATATTTCAATCTTCCAATCACAAGAACATGTAATTTATAGATTATCGTGACTAGTTCAAATTTAGATTATCGTGACCAGTTCCAAATTGACAAAAATGAGTACTTCAAGAAAAGTAAAACACAGAAATGACGACGACGACAGCAAGCCTTCCAATAAGAAACAGAAAAAAGGCAAGCAAAAGTATTGTTCACGTTACTGCTACGTTATTTAATGTGTGCTCTGATTGTAACTTTTTCGAGTTTTTCAACGTTACCAGATTTCCATACTTTCAACAATAATACAAGTATAGCAACGCAACTTGATTCTCCTGGTAGTATTATGAATTCCTTTTTATTTTGAGGAACATGATCTTTATGTGAAAAATTTTGAAGATGCATTATTAATAATAAGATTTTGATTTTCAAATAATATCTTGTGACTTTACGTTAATATCTGATTTTGTACTAATAGCCGAAATTGATAATTTAATATATACTCTGTAGTTGCAAATTATGTGCCGAGAACTCTGAATGTGGTTGATTTTGCTGAGGCTAGTGTCTCTAAATGTCAAATTTTCCAAAATAAAAAAAAGATTTTAATTTATTACTTATTTATTATATGATACAAATAAATAGGCAAGAGCCTTTGAAATAAATGCAATGAGTGATGCTTTGGAACGAAGAAAGTTGGTACCCTCATGATATAAATAATTCATATATCATGTCCTTTTCCATCGATCGATTCATTATAATATCGATAATTACAAAAAGACCATGTATTAAAATTGATTTCTCACAAAAAAAGACAAGCAAAAAATCTAAAAGCCTCACAATCGCTTCCTTCCCATCTTCGAAGACGAGCTGCTAGTCATAATGTCAAGCGATTACCGGTTCGGTTACGTGAAAAAGCCAAGGAAGAGGCATTTTGACCAAATTTTAATTTATAACGCTCGGCAATTATCGTATCATAAAAAATATATCATGTAAAATAATAGAGTTTGATTTTAATTAGATGGAGCAGAACAAGACCAAGATTAGTAGGCGGAAGAAAAGGCGCCCAGGTTCTTTGGTTGAAGAGTATACTCGTAGACAAGGTATTTAGGTGATTCTTTATTAACATTAGTGAAAAATTTCGTTGTCAAATTAATAAATAAAGCCTTAATTATCTCGATTTTTTGCAAATAGCGAAAATTCGGTGGTTAGAAACACATATTTGGCATACAAAGAGAATGAAAATGATTGAAATCTGGGGATACAAATTGGTACTAGATTTGTTACATTTTTATCTACTATCCTTTCACTCGATCCTGAATAAAAGAATTTCTATAGGCAGAGCATCCAAGCGAAAAAAGCATAAAATCTTCATACCGAGCAAGTTCGCATCTCTCCATAATAAACGATGTCTCTTATTTCGGATTTATAAAATTGACGGGCGAACAGACACACTTGATCAAATTATTCAACTCGGTGACCGATCCTACTTTGCCGTCTATTGGAAGCGAAAAGTATAAATGCTATTCATGATCATAAATGAATTCCATTAATATTATTCATTGTGTATTAATATTGGATATTTATTTTTTACCAGATACCTCAAAGGAAAACGACAATGTTATACATATTTATACTATTTTTCAAAATATCCAACACACTTAGTTTCACCCATGAACCTAATTTGGCAACCCAGGAACGAAATAGATGACGTTTCTCAAAATATTCTTGTGTGGATTCATCCTTCTGCATTTGATGAAGCTATAAGTGTATTTAATGAGGCTATTAAATATCTTGGATTAGAAGAAGGTATGAAATCATAATTTTATTGCCATAAATTGCATTAAATCTATTTATTTCATTAATAGATATAATCTTGAAAAATCTTCAAACCGAACTTTTGATGTTCGAAATAACCGGACCAAGATCAACAGCTTTGTTACAATCAGTATTGGACTTGGACGAAGAAAACACCAATGCATCACAATCCAATAAAGTATGATAATTTATCTTTCATTTCAACAAAAAAAAAGACCATTAATCTTTTTAATAAATGAATATCCCAAATTAGGTGTGGAAAGCGTTACAGGATTTACGCACATCGGCATCATTACCACATGGTGTAGTATTAGGATTGGAAATAATTGACCCTCGTTTAAGGTATTCTTACGAATGAAACATTCTTAACCAAATTTTATAATAAATTCACGATTAGAACGTAATAATATTACTAGTTTCCCTAAAAAAGTTCCATCACGTACAGATATCATATCAGAGGCTTCACAACAAAATTTGCAAGAGATCTTGAATTATTGGCCTGATAATGTCGCGGCATCCGAACTCTGGGACGACGAAAAACGAAAATTATTGAAGGAAAATAAAATTTCCGACGGAGATTTGAATAAACGACGAAGCCAGGTTTTTTACGTTTATCTTTGATTATCGAACTACTACCAATGTTTATTATTACTTATCAATTTATACTATCTTATTTCTATCGCTCCAAAACTTCAAAGAATCTTATTCCAGGACAGAAATTATTACCCCTAGCAGAAGATGCTCGGATCCCAATATTATTAGTTCAAAGAGGCGCACAAACTTCTCAAGTGCAACAGCAGCAGCAGCGACAATATCCTTCTGAATACACTTGCGGCTGGAATATAATATTACCAGTTGGATGGGGCATGGCGTTCTGGAAAAGCTTTATTTTTGCAGGAGCATGGGTTGGCGGTATATATTTCAACAACAAATAACAACTTAAATTCAATTATTAATGAGTTTATTCTTTAGGTCTTCGCGAAAGACATAACTTTCATTTCGAAGCTGGTCTTTCTTATTTTCCGTGCGATTATCCCGGAACTAAATCATATGACGAATACTCACTTCAAGAAAAAACCAAAGCCGAAGACGCGTATAATAAACATCCACCTGCTAAACGACCCAACTTCAAAAAACTTTTCGTCTCGTCTCCATTCGAAGCACCATTTCACGATATGTTAAGATCCAACGAATCCTTATTATCATCCGAGCAAGATGATGAAAAAATTGGTCAACCACCACCTAAAAATACCAAAAAAATTTGGATTCTACAGGGTGAGAAGAACTTGCGATTGCTAAAGGAATCGGCGAATCTGGATGAATTTAAAGAAAAACTAGTTGGACAAATAAAGGACAGAACGAGTTCACGTGTCTTGAATGAACATTCGTTAGATATTTCAAAAGCAGTTGTACGTGTTCGTGTTGATTTCTTAGCACGGGGCGTTGTTGGATCCCGTGCGATAATTTATAAGGTTGAAAAGGATTCTTATGATTATTGGATGACAAGGAACCAGTCGCGGGATAGTGATTTCGAAGATTCTGAGGATTCAGATGACAACGATACGGTCAAAGAAAAAAAGGTATTGGCATTATATCTATATAAATAGTAATAAATTACGATAAATTCTAAAAAACCAAAATTTCATATAGGATAAAAAGTCATCGTACCATATCCCACCAGATAGCGATACAATTGGCTACGTGACTACTGGTCAATTCTCATTCAATAAAGGTCACGGCTTCGCAATTGGATGTTGTTCCATGGCAGCAATTCATGATCTCTTGAAAAAGCAAATAAGGTGAGTTAATCTCGTGATTTCGAAGAATAATAATATACTGCCAAGCTCTAGCAAGAAAAAAATATGAATTCTTGGTGATAACGGACGATTTTGTTTGATATTTATTGATGATGATGATGAATATAATTATCGTGCGTCTCTTTTATTTACACACAAATTGATTTTCTCTCTCTCTCTTCTAACACGAATTGAATAGTAGTAAAAGTTCGACCGAATCAAAAAGCGGACAAAGGTCGACGATGATTGTTAATATGAAGATGGTAGTCTTAGTTAGAAAAACTACAAGTATGACAAGTCAACCAGCATCCATTGAACTTTTACAGTGATTATTTTTATGATTTCTAAAGGATGATGTTGATGATGATTCAATTATATATTCCCTCGTATAAATATATGAAGGAAAATGCAATGAATAGGACTGCACCACAAAGTGTAACTTGTAAATTAAAGAAAATCGGCATTAGAAGAAAATTTGAAAATATAATGTTATAAAAATTATATCTATAGTTTACCTGTTCTCAATGATATTTTTTGCGCCAGCATTCGACCACCAATTACCGCAAGAGCAGTGCACATACTATGTCCCATTATCGTTCCAAACATCACTAAATATACATTCTAAGGAAAAACTAACGATTAATACATCGTTGAATAAAGAAAAAAGGAAATAAATACATTAACTCACCTGTGCAGCTGCTAAAGCAATGGTGGCAATCTGTGATCGATCTCCCCATTCACCAAGAAAAGTAAGAACAAAAGTCTGCACAAAAACGGGCGAAAAAAGAAGCTGACATAAATTCTGTAATCCCTCCAATCCACCACTACTCTTAACATCCGGCACACCACCCTTTTCAACAGCAGCCATAAGTTGCGCTTCCTCTTTTTCTTTTAATTCTGCCGTGACCTCTTCCAATTCCTGATTTGCCTCTTCGGGCGACATATTCCATCCCTCAGACACCATCTTAATCCCGAAGAAAAGAAACAGTACAGCCGCTATGTAATTCGTATAAATTTGTGGTATCAAATTTGGTACTACATGTCCAAGAGTCGCTGAAAGCACCGACATCACTATCAATGCACAAAATGCTGCCGAGAACACCAATAGGCGTGAATGCTTCATTGCCATTATCGCAGCAATTAAAAAGGTTTTGTCGCCGATTTCTGATACTATTATCATTAAAAAACTGAGAACAAAAGATCTTTGATCGTCTGTGTCAATTCTTGAAAATGTTTCTTTAGCATTTACGATGGTGGTTGTTCCTATATCAAGTAATGACTTTTCACGCGCCGAATTCAGGCTATTAAATGACTTCATATCGTTCTAAATTCCGTCAAGATAGATTTTTTTAGTTTATGTAATTGTCAGTATGGGCCAAATTCCATAAGATTGTAAGGAGCATCGAGTTCACCTTCCATTTGAGATCTCCCATTTCACGAACTTTTCTATCTCCTACATGGAACAAGTCGGCTTGAACAACATTGTGTGCAGTAAATGAAAGTAATAAGCAAGTACAGTAAAATACGAGCGCGAAATTCCAAGAATGCAATAGCATGATTAAGATTAGATTTAATTATTAAAAGTAATAGATTCGTATGAAAACACCATTTACACGAATATATAATGAAAACTATGATTTCTTGTTAAACAAACAAATAAATAAATAAATAAATGAGAGAGAGAGAGAGGCTGAAAATCTAAAGAACGTGGAAAGAAACGAAGGTAATAGAGGTGTTTAGACAATTATGTACGTAGTTCTTTGTAATGTTTTAATTTGCCACGTGCTTAATTATAAATCGAAAATGTGGATACAGTCAAACAACTTGGATAACTGATCAACTAATAATGCTTGAAAAGTCATCAAACGTTTGTATTTTAAACTTCTTTACTCAAAAGTAAATACAAAATTTAATCCGTGAACATTCTCAGAAAGAGCCTATTCTAGCATATTCACGGATTAAATTTTGTATCCATTTTATAAAATATAAATGTTTGATGACTTTAGATGTTATGCACCATATGTAATTGGCTAATGTCCGGATACCTTATTTATATACTTTAAAGTACTTTTAGAGAACGTCACGTTTTACTAGTAAAAAATCACCGTAAAAACCATTAGCTTTAAACGAACGTTAATATTCACTATGCAAAAGAATCGCCAAAGAATCCAGAACCTGACATACTTTATTTAGAAGACAAAAAACTTTACTATTTATTACTATTACCAACTCTATATATGTATTATCATGCTGAAAACAGTCAACGAAAAAAGACAAGCAAGATGTATAATGCAAGTTTAATTTTAAAGAAAAGCTTTATATACATATATCATTTACTTTATAATCTTTAAATCTAAATAAAAGTTAAGCTCGTTGGATAATGTGTATAAATGTGAATAAATACCAGTGGTGTTGTTTAATTATAATATAGGTCAAGGGTTGTAATGTGTCTAGTAAAGATAGTGATGACTGAAAAATAGAATAATAAATAAAGAGTAATGGTAAAGCTTCGCATTGATTTGATTGACATAAATCCTATGATGTTAGCAATTTATTAATTACCCTAGCCACGGCGATGGTCGGGATCGAAATCGGAATCACGTGATCGACACTTTTTTCGCCGTGGCAACACAGAATAGCCGCACGGCGCAGCAGTTGAAGGCTTAAAGTTCTTTCAACTATTTATTTTCTAATAAAAATGACTACGAGACAAAACCTTGCACATTGTTATGTGAGGGCGAGAAAGTTCACAAGTTATTCTCTGTTCTTGGTAATAATAATAGCCTTCCTGTTAAGCTATAAGGCTTCCGCACTTTATTTCTACTTGGAGGGTACAGAACAAAAATGTTTTATCGAGGAACTACCAAAGGACACACTTGTAGTTGGTAAATTTAATACCGATTTAAGTTGACGCACTTAATTTTGAAATTTTTAAAAAAGAATTCTTTTTGTTTCAATTGTTCATGTAAATTTCTTCGGTTTCTTTTAGGGAGCTATAAAGCTGAACAGTGGTCTGAGGATCAAAAAGCTTTTCATGAGAATCCCGAAGTTGGAATTCAGATCACAGTCGATGTAAAAAAAAAATTCAATAAGTTCGCCGATGTTACCCATTCAATTTCTTAACATACCAATCAATTAATATACATGTAGGAATTGGCCCAATCTCATACGATAGTAAATCAAAAAGGACCAAGTCATGGCAGGTTCACATTTACAGCATCCGAGTCGGGAGACCACGCGATTTGCTTTGCTGCGAATACGAGTGCATGGTTTAGTACTACCCAGACTGTATGCGCATTTAAATATTCGATGTATAATAGTGAATAAATTGGTTTTCGAAAAAGATATAATTCTCCGAGTTTTGTTCATATTTGGATAAATAGAAATTGACTTTAGATATGGCGATTGGTGAAACAACTAGCGAAGAAGAGAATGATAAGGAACATTTTAGCGGTATGGTTTTTATTCTGATTTTTCGATCATGATCACAAAGTTATCGATAGTATCCTAATCCTTTTTGTTCCCGAATAAAAAAGAATTAGCACAACGCGTACGTGATCTAAACAATCGAATAGCCGATATTAAACGCGAGCAAAGTTATCAACGGGTGCGTGTTCCCCCCCCCCTTTTTTTTTGAATTCCAATTGCGAATAACCCAAATGAATCAACTCATGAATAAATCATAGGAACGTGAGATTGAATTCCGAGATCAATCCGAACTGACCAATTCACGCGTAGTTTCCTGGACGATTGTCCAATTGCTGGTGCTGGGACTAACCTGTCTATGGCAAATGCGTCATTTGCGAAGTTTCTTTGAAGCAAAGAAACTCGTTTGATTGATTAGATTTCATGGCTATTTAATCAATTTAGAATCGTTATCCAAAAATTGTTGTATTATTTAATTCTTTTTTATCATTGTAAATTAATGCAAAAAGAATCATTTGCGTCAAAATTTTATTTTCGGGAATCGAGAGAACAAAGTAAGCATGCATAATGTTTAATACTTGCTCTGTCTGTCTGTTAAACATCAATTCATCGTCGTTTTGGTGTGTTGATGATTTTTATATGTGGAATGTGATGGTTGAGGATGCACATAAAAATTTTAAGGTACATGTACATAAATAAAAACGAGTGTGTGCCGATAATGAGTGGTTTTGTCTAAAAACAACAATAAAAATAGCGAATGTTGGTATTTCAGGACAATAAAAATAACGAATGTTGGTATTTCAGAACAATAAAAATAAGAAATGATTAAATGATTAAACATCAAAAAATTAAAAGAAAAACAATAATTTATTTTGGTATTCTTCAAGAATACTGCGGAATTTCAGGATCGTCCAAATAAGTTTGACCATCAACATTATGAAAATCTAAATAAGATTCAAGTAATTAATGCTTCAAACCAACAAGAACATCAAAACATAAACTTATTTCCTTTCTTTCTCTCTCACCTAAAATCTCTTGATACATCATCACCTTCCAATTGTCAACCGGCAAATCCGCATCATTAAACGACCAATCGAACGGCTCATCCGCGAACGGTTCGTCTGTTTCGTCGTGATATGGTTCGAGGTATTTATGGGCCAATGCCTGTTCGGCAGTGATCCGTTTTCGTGGGTCGAAGACTAACATCCTCTCGAGTAGATCCAAAGCTGTTATTTTATTCGTGAATTATTATTAACTTGGTGATTATGCAAGGATCTTTGAAATTTTTTTGGTGACAGCGATAAAATATGTGTGATAAACATGAAAAGCATTACCATCGGGCTCGGCATTCTGAAACTTTTGCGAGAATGGAACTTTTTCGCGTTTCGGCAGTGATTGAACGAATCTTAGAGTCTATATTAAGATTAATTGTATCAGTAAGGGCAATTGAGTAAATATTTCTTTTTACATAAAATGAAATAATAAAAACGTACATTTTCGCTACAAATAGTTTGAATCACATCGTCAGGTGGTGTTCCGAGTAACTCGGTAATGATAGAAAACTGATTCACATCTAAAAAAGAATAATCAGGTGTTGATTGTGACTGAATGATAAATACAATACATAATCCGGATAAAACGTACGATCTTTGCCCGGGAATAATGGTTTTCCTTCCAACATTTCCGCAAAAATACATCCGACGCTCCAAATATCAACTTCAAGGAACAAAATATTAGTTAACGAAAAAAATTCTTACTAAAGAATCATCAATGAAGTTACCTGCAACATCGTACTTTTGCCATGTCAGCATAATCTCTGGAGCTCGGTAATATCGAGTGGATACGTATCCGGTCATTTGAGGATCTTGAATACGCGCTAGACCAAAATCACAAATCTAATATATGTGTGTGCATATACGTTAACGCGAAAATACATTGTATCTACCCAACAAAAAATTGCTTATGTTTCTGAATTTCTGAATCATACCTTCAAATCACAATTTTCATTGACAAGAATATTACTAGGTTTCTATATATTCGACGATTAAAAAAAAACAAAACTCGTATTACTTAAATTTATTAAATTTCTGTGTAAGCATTTTAACTCTCACCAGATCTCTATGCACTACTTCAGCGGAATGGACATATTTCAATCCTCTCTACATATATATACACGCATATAATAAGTACATAAAACAAAATAAATCTCCTCCCCAGGAATACAACCAAATAAAAAAAATCGAATCCTACCAGAATCTGATACAAGAAGTATTGAATAAACTGTTTCTCCAAAGGACGGGATGTCAGTAGTCGATGCAGATCGGTTCCAAGTAACTCTGTAACAAAATATCTGTATGTTTGGTATGAATGTAATTAATAACAAAGTTAAATCAACCAAAACATCGATATTCAAATTTAATATAGGGTATATTTACATATCCTCTAATGGAGAAATAAAGATGTCACTTAAACTAATGATCTACACGAATAAATTAACGGCGTGTACGCGAATCTCGCATAAATTAATTGAAAAACAAAACGAGCATAGATCCAACGAGAAAAGAACAAAAGAGATAGTCACGTTTTCATGCTTTAAATGCTTAAGCAGCTTCAACTCGCGATACGTTCTTTTTGACAACACGGGTGTGCTAAAAGGTTTCATAATCTTTTTGATAGCGACATTGGTACCGGTCAATTGATCCTTTGCAGAACTTTATGGTGGTTGAAATGACAAAGCAACGCGTTAATTATTTTATGTAGAATTGATGGATACGGTGTAAAGAATCCTCACCAAACTAGACCAAATGCTCCCATACCAACTGGTTGAAGATCTACATATCTGCCAGTGAGACGCGTCCGTATGGACAAGTCAGTAAAATAATATTTATTAACACATAATATATACATGTATTACACTATTTTTATAGATATGAAATTCTGCACCAAAAAATTATAAACATTTAAATTAGTATTAACCTTGTCGTCACTTCAAAAACCGTTCCAAAAATCGACAACTTTACAAATTCGGCCATCTCTAATTCTTATTTACTACCTATTATTTATTACTAATATTTTTATTATTGTTATTGAAATAGAGACTAAATTCTAAGCTTATTTATTTGCTGAAGAGGAGAAACTAGTCAAAAAAAAAGAGCTTAATTTATTTTATCTTTTCTGGTGAATCATATCTCAATTTAACGATGATGATGTCATATTGATGTATTTTGAAAGTTAGCCACATATGCATGAATGCACATTGAAGACCTGTCCCACGTTAGAACAATGAATCATTACTGATTTTGGTATATCGATTTAATTTATTGAGTTCCATAATCAATCGTGAGGTGGATTGTCCAATTTCGATGACACCTTACCCGCAATATCCTTGTAGTATTGAGCTTGAATGCTCTCGGGCTTTGCTATAACAATCGGTTGACCACGATCGGATAGTTCGCAAATTTCGGTGTGTAATGGTATATCACCGAGCATCTCAAGATCCATTTCTTTGGCGACTTTCAATACACCATCGGTTCCAAAAATGTGTGTCTTTTGTTGGCAGGTTGGGCAAATAAAGACCGACATGTTTTGCACGATTCCAAGTATCTATTTATTTCATTTATAATAGTGTAAACATGATAACAATTAATAAAAATCACCATATCATGACTCATGATGATTAAGAAATTTATGAAAAATAATACTTGCTGGGACTTGGACTTTCTTGAACATATTTGCACCTTTTTTTGCATCAATTAACGCGATATCTTGAGGTGTGGAGACTATTACAACTCCTGTCGAGAAAAATTCATTATAGAAAAATCATAATCCATTATACATATGTATATGTATATGTATATAAATTTACCATCTAATACGACCTGTTGGGTGATAGTCAACTGTACGTCTCCAGTGCCAGGTGGCATGTCAATCACCAAAAGGTCCAATTCATCCCAAAAGACTTGATGAATCAACTGCTGTAAAGCTTTCATAACCTGTCACAGTATAATCATAATATTATTAATATTATTTAATAATGAATGTGCATGAATTATACAGGTCAATACCATTAAACCACGCCAAACTACAGGTGAATTTTGCGACACCAAGAATCCAATCGACATACACTTCACTCCATAATTAGTTAAAGGAATCAACTGCCCTATCAGATCATTATTAAGACACTAATTATTTTTATGTTTAAAATATCTGACAAAGAACCAACCTTTATTTGTCATATTTGGTTCACCATTCAAATTCATTAGTCGTGGAATCGAAGGTCCGAAAATATCGGCATCCAAGATTCCGACACGTTTTCTCCACAACGAGGCGACAGCTAACGCAAGATTAACTAAGATCACAATATACATTAATGTTTTGGAAATAATTTCACTAATTCAAACAAAAGAACATACCAGCAACCGTAGATTTGCCAACTCCGCCTTTTCCTGATGCGATAGCAATCACATGTTTAATCCCTTCTATTCTTTGTTTGGTGGGCAGACCTTTTCTCATTTTTTCCAGGAATGCTGGTGATGGCTGTCCTGGTGATAGCGGAATTCCCTATTTGAAAGAGATCATTTTTGTAAGTATGGGCAGAAAGAGAGAGATCATTTGAGAGAAGGAGTCTGTATACCAGAGGATTTTCATGTGCGCATAGACAAGTAGTAGTGAAATTGCGGTTAGAAATAGGAGCAACGCGAGTTAGAAGTTTATTGAGATTCCGAGTCAATTTACGCGTAATGTTCTTTAAATACATTTCCATATATGCGATTTGCATGCATGCATGCATTTATTAGGAAAATAAATATGCCAGTGTAATTATTACATAAACTTTATTCTGTCGACTTCATGAAGCATTCAAACAGAAAATGTTCTAGCTAAGAGATTTTTCTAGAATCAACGGGTCACTTTCAAAGGAAATGACAAAATTTACAAAAATCGTGATCTCGGCACAACTTTTGGCTCCCAACTATGATACTTTGGTGCAGTAGTGTTATACGGTTTGTACGCTTTGTCGGTGCCTGTAAAATTCGGTTTGTGTGTGGCTTTGAATGTGGGGTTGGCGGCTGGTTCAACTGTTGGTGGGTATTCGGTTAATTTATGAATCCATCGATGCCTTTCCAGAAAAAAATTCAATTTTAAGCTATAACACGGTTTTACAAAAGAAAAAAATAATAAAAATTGATTACATCTACCATTCAGATGGAATCATACTGGCATCTTCGTATGCATCTTTGTATAATGTTCCTCCATATTCTACCCATCTGTCTCTCCCTTTAAGACAGCAGTTGAATTAATAAATAGTAATCTTATAATAGAATAAACGTGACGACTCTTATTCCTAAATTCCTCTCCTTCCCACACAAACACAACCAACTTTTCAAAAATGCCTGAAGGTAAAATAAAAAAAAACTAACCATAAATTTCCTCTTTATTCTCGTAATACTTGTTTCCAAACTGATCAACACCAACTAACGTTCCTGCCTTTGTGTCTCCAATATGTTGGAGTTGTCGCCAGTATGATACTGGACCAACTTTAAAGAAATTTTTTATTATTCGCGTTATGCCTGCGGACATTTATTCGTTCGTTCGTGTAGAAAGAGATTACAGTAAACTTCTCTATAATCACATGCCATGTGACTATATGAGGTGATTGTTATAGAGGTTGTGACTGCATATGATTTTGAACGTGATTTTGAACTCTAATGCGGGCCAGAATCAAATATGTATCATCAATCCTTGCAAGCTACTTCACATGAGTAATAACGAAGACTACTCATAATTATTAGTCGCACCCAAAAATCAATGACTTCCATATGTGTATGGAAAGTTCTCTTCAATTCTTTGACGACTTTGTTCGTCCTCGATAATTCGCCCAATGAAGAACAAATTATCTGGTGAATAAGTGCTTTTGTAGAATCGTTAATATTGCGTTGTGATATAACGAAGGCATTGCCATTTGTCAAATAAATTTTGGAATCGTTCTAATTATGAATTGTGGGATTTTCGGTTAAGATTCGGTAGATTTGCCGGCACCATTCGATTGACGCGACTCTGATGCCCGACTTTTCCTTTTTGGTTGTTTGATTTGATCAAAAGGGAAGAAATATTTGTGGTTGATTATAAATAATTCTCTTCGATTTACACAAATGACAAAAAAAGCGGAGTATTTGTGTGTTCGTTATTATAAATTTTATATTATTTATTATTACTATGTTTTGCTTGAATAGTAATATAATAGTGTCCTATACTGCAGACAAGAAGAACGTCACACCCTATTAGGTTATATAGCTCTCTCGTGCTTCACATGCACACACACAACACCTCTTCTTGCCTGCTAATCTCCTTTACACTCGAACACTCAAACACTCACGTGTTAATTGATATTCTTATATTATCTATATATTGTGTTATTGATTTGTTGATTATAATATATCAATGGCAGAAACAGCAACCATGAAAACGGCAAAATTGCCTACTCCAAAGATCCATCATATTGCCGAACGTAGATATTGGAGTGCGACAAATGCTTTACCCGATTATGAAAAGTTTATCAATACTAATACTCCACTTGTTATTGATAACGGTAAGGGGATGTATATAGATAGATAAATGGATATTGAAGAATAGGCTTTCAGAATGTTTTTGATATCCGATAGATTTATGTTAATTATAAGGAATAAGTGAACAACTTATCTTTGATAAATAAAAAATACCAAAATATCATCCTTTTCCTCAAAATATGCTCTTTATCTAAGAAGTATTTTATCAAATCTGACCTTTCATTGAATTCATTACAATAGGATCATACCAATGCCGTGTTGGATGGGCAACCGATACTACTCCCAGATGTAATTATTTGTTGAAATTTAAATGCACCGCATATTTTGTGAGATTGCATACTAATAAGAATAATACCCAGTACAATTTGACAATCTAATGTCGAAATATCGTGATCGTAAGTTATCGCAAACCGTGTTGTTAGTCGGGAACGATATCTATACCGATGCAACGGCGAAAACGAATGCAAAATCGGCCTTTGATGGAAATGTTGTCATCAATTTCGAAACAATGGTTGGTTTGGATTTTTGGACGTGGATTTTCTGCACTCGAGGAAAAACAAGACACGACGTTTTGATTTCTTTTGCACACTTCTATCATTACAGGAAAATATTCTGGATTATATTTTCGTCAAACTGGGAATCAACACGGAGAGAGTTGATCATCCAATATTGATGACCGAAGCGGTTTGTAATCCGTTACAATCACGAAAATGTAAGGGATTTCACTGGTTTCTTTTTCTTCAACCTTGGGATTCGAGAGAATTACTCGTTGCTAATAAAAACAAATCATTTAGCAATGTCGGAATTGCTATTTGAATGCTATCGTGTCCCGTCTATATGCTATGGAATCGACGCGTTATTTGGTTACCACGCGAATGGTCTTTCATTTGATAAAGGCGGAATTGTTGTTTCGTCAGGCCATTCCACAACCCATGTGATTCCTATATATCATAATTACGGAGTATTGGGACAAGCGAAAAGGTAATTGATGTTTTTACGGGCTTATTGCCTGTAACATGACTGAACACTTTATCTATATATTTTCATTATTTAGGATATCTTATGGAGGATATACGTCAACAGATTTCATGCTGAAATTAATGCAACTCAAATATCCTACATTCCCGACTAAAATGAGTGTGAATCAAGCTCAAGTGCGTTTTTATCTTGTTATAATAAATTCGAGCAATTTTAGAAAATCAACGCATCACATATTAATTTTTTTCGTATCAATCAGCACCTATTACACAATTACACGTATGTGGCAGAAGATTACTTTGAAGAACTAAAGAAACACGAGAGCCCGATAACTTTTGCATCTCGAGATCGTGTCATTCAGTTTCCTTACATACCACCTGTATTTATATTATCATTCTTCATTTTTTGCAATTCTTCACGGTAATCATGTATATGATGTATACGATGCTTTCTTCGGTTATATAGGCCGTAACGGAAAAAACCGAGGAAGAAATCGCACGCGCTGAAGAAAGAAAAGCTGAGCAAGCAAGACGATTAAAAGAGCAAGCTGAAAAATCACGGATGACTAAGGTATCATAATGAGAATAATAATACCATTTCTTTAAGTTTCAGATAACATATTAAGACAATCTTGCAAATTGATATTCATTTATTAAAGTTGCGAGACCACGAGGAGAAATATGCATTGTTTACTACATTAAAAGAGAGTAAAACGAAAATTCGGAAAGCTGATTTCATAGTAAGTTGTATATGATTCTTGACGGGAAAATTGATTACAAATCGCTACAATCAATATTGAATCGTCTTTTCTGACATAGGCGCGATTGCGAGAAAATACAATAAGGGACGAAGCCGAATTGGATGAACTTATTAAAAAGAGCGAGAAAGTAATCCAGCGAGCTCGAAATAAACTATTAGGAATTGATGAGATTGAAACTAAGGTTCGTCAATTTTTACTTATGGAAATATTTCAGTCTTGTTGATTGAGATTGATTTTTTTTTGGTCTGATAGGAGGAACCGACGTTTCCTCTGGTAGACATTCCGGATGGCCAACTAGACGAAACTGAGCGGAAAGAAAAAAAGAAACAATTGGCGTCCAAAAGCTTGCATGAGTCACGACAACGAGCACGCGAAGCAAAAGAATTGGCTAAAAAGCAACAGGTTAATCATAATGAGATTTGACACTATTCGAAAAAAACCCCTCCACCAAATTAACTCGATTCATTTTTTTTCGTGTTTAGGAAGAGGAAGAACGCATAGAAGAAGAAAAACGAAAAACGGATTTCAGTGGATGGCTACAAGACTTGAAGAAAAATTACAAGGTTTGATTTTTTAATCGATGAATGACCAATACGGAGAAAATCCAATGCTAATTAAAAATTCATGTTTCAGGATCAACTCGACAAAGTCAAACAGCTGAAACGAAGAAAAGAGCAACTTTCAGATAGGAGAAGTCATGCATCGCAGTTGAGAATGAAATCAATTGCTACTTTAGCGAGTGATGCGCCACCGCCTAAAAGGCGTAGAAGGGGGCAAGATGGTATGTGTTGAGTATCTTTTTACCTGAGTTAAACATTTATGTTTAATAATACATTTATTATTTTTTAGAGGATACTTTCGGAGCTGACGATAATGATTGGGAGATATACAAAGAAATAGTAAGCTATATATATATATATATTAATCATCCTTTCTCTTTAACTAAACGTCGAAAAATTCATCTAAAAAGAGCAAAGACGATGACGGATGGGAAGAAGAAGAGGAACTATCGCAGCTTCGCGAACTCGAAAAAAGGTTACTTCAATACGACACCACATTCCTAACCGAGGACACATTTGACGCACAAAACTCCGTACAGAAATCTCTGATGTTTATGTTCACGCACGGTGTCGCGCCACCATACGATCCTGAGGACGTTTCGCAGATGCATCAATTGCATGTAAATGTGGAACGGACTCGTGTGCCCGAGGCGTTGTTTCAGCCTAGCATTGTCGGATTGGATCAGGCTGGTGTGGTAGAAACCGTGGGTGATATTGTGAAGAGGTTCGATGAACGAGATAGGAATAATTTAGTGCAGGTGAGATTTTTGACTAATGGCTATAAAGATTACTTCGATTTTACATGATAAACTAATTACCATGCATCTCATTTCAAAACAAGTCTGTATTTTTAACAGGTAGTCACACAAAAACTCCGGGACTAACAGAACGCTTTGAAAAAGACCTTCGAGCAATCTTACCCGCTTCGGCACCTCTGAAAATAATCAAAGCAAAAGACCCAGTACTTGACGCGTGGCACGGCGCTGCACTATGGGCAAGATCTGATGAGTTTTTGCAGTATGTAGTCACAGAACAAGAGTATCAAGAGATGGGAGGAGAGTATATTAAAGAGCACAGATTTGGAAATGTGTTTCGTGTATTAAATCAATAGTCAGGTTCCTTATTGTTATCGTTAAATCATCACCTATAAACTTGCTATATAGTTGGCTGAATAAAATATCACGTGATTTACCGATCTCATTAGATGGTAGAGATGCAAAATCAAAAATTTTGAATTATTTAGTTTCTCTCGCAACTCATCCCTTGAATTCATTGACGAAACTTGGTCAGAAGGGATCACTTTCTACATAATGGTAAGCAATCAAAATTTTCAAACAGGATGGATGAATTGCTTTCATTATCGATTCATCGTCGAATCAACCATTTTTTTGTGTTATACCTTTTAACATGTCAACGTTCCGCCCATAACATGTTCTGCCCATAATGGACAATGAATAAATAAAAAAACCCAGGCCGACGCACCCGCTACAACAATCCGTACCCGAAAATTCCTCACGAACCGTCTTCTACAACGAAAACAATTCATTGTCGACATTCTCCACCCGAACCGTGCAAACGTGTCAAAAGATGAACTCCGCGAGAAACTAGCGAAAATGTACAAGGTTGACAAAGAGGTCATTTTTGTGTTTGGCTTCCGTACGGCGTTCGGTGGTGGTCGGTCGACGGGGTTCGGGCTCATTTATGATTCTCTGGACTCGGCAAAGAAATTTGAACCAAAGTACAGGCTTGTGCGGGTAAGGATACTTGTTTATGTTTTACCATGAACAGAGAGAAATATGCCCATTCAGATTGGAAATCAATGTTCTCTCGCTTGAGCCTACATTGAAATATTTCTCTTATATTTTCAATTGATAAAATTTATTAATTTATACTTTTTAATTTTGTTAGCATAAACTCCAAGAAAGCCAAAAGACTGCGCGTAAACAGCGCAAAGAACGAAAGAATCGTGCCAAAAAATTACGTGGTACAAAAAAAACCAAAGCCGGTAGTGCCGGAAAAGAAAAAAAATAGTATTAATACTTATATATCTTCATTAGTATGTGCATCAGAAAAAAAATCTTGGGAGATTGTGGTAGTAGTGGTGCTGGGCGAAGGAGAGGAATTTAGTATGTTATTTAGTGAACATGGCGATGATTATGTTGATATGAAGAGTGTTAAAGTTTGATATTGGTGATTAATTAATTTATCTCTTTAAAAGAGTCATTAGAAGACATTTGGTTATTTCTATTATTCTAACGTTGCAAGTGGGAACGGGATATACGTGTATATGAAATCGGCCCAAATTAGGATAGAAGTTAGAATTAGTGCTGGTGATAAGATTAGTGTTGGTCATCCACACTAAGTGGATTCCGAATCCACCAATATTCCATTCTCACTCGCAACTTATACATGCAAACTTGTACAATTGGTTATGCACACAGTGAACCTCGATATAACGAATCGAGGTCCAAAACTTTTCTCGAGATTTATTGTGTTTCTATATAACACACTAGCCAGATCATCATAATAATAAACAGTATCTACCACGTGATATGTATTTTATTTATCTAAAGTCGCGTTTTTGTGTAATATCTTTCCTTGCTTCAACAACTCGTGTTTATTTTTTGATTTTGAAGAAAAGAAAATTCTCATTAAAAATAAATCAAGATTAGAAGGAAAGACTTCAGATACAAAGGCGGTAACCTCTATAAGACAGCTCTGAGGAAGAAACCTTAACAGCAACAATATAAAACCAAAAAATGTCGCTGGGCTTGAATATATCTTCGCCTCCTTTAGGAGACGAAGAGCTCTCTTTAAAGACTCCTACCTCTTTGCGACAATCCCTAACGGCCTCGTGGTCGAGCAAAAAGAATAATAAATTTGAGGAGCTGGAGAAAGAAGATAATAGCAACGTAAACGTAACAAAAGAGTCGAATATTATTATGGGTGGGGGCGCTTTTACTACCCCCTCTCAACAAGCTTCAAAAAGTATCAACAACAGTAGTCGCCAATCGAATCTCTTGAAAACTTCAAATAGTGAAAATTCAGCCAACGAGTTCTGGGAGGAAACTATTGTTGAAGCAACGCCGACAGCACAACATTATCAGAATGAATCTTTGTCTTCTTCAAATACATTTGAAGAAATGATTTCAGATAAAGATAAGAAAAGCGATGATACGACAACCTCAACAAAAACAACAACTACTACTAAGCAGCAGCAGGGTATTATTAGTTCTATTACAACTACTATTTCTGGCTTGACTGACGAAAACTCGCCCTTTATAGTAGGACAAGCTGAATCTATCGAAATACTGAATCGAGATCAAACAAAATTCTTGCGACAAATTAAGGAAGCAGAAGAGAAGCAGGGAAAAATACCTAATGATAATAAGAATCATACACTGACTACAAATACAAATACTAATACCATTAACAACAGAGATGTTGGTGAATCTCCACGGAAACGTACGTTCCCTTTTTTGTTATTACTTTCCTAAAAACAAAGATTGATAATTGATTATGGGTAGACGCATTAGGTCTAAACACCGGGACCTCAATTTTTGAATTCTCTCCGCAACTAACACCAAGCACAAGCAATGATCTACCGTACAATATCCCATATCTTTTCGAATCTTCAACAAAGGAATATTACGATAACGCTACGTATACAGCAATGTCTAGTCTACGACAACGAGTTATATCGCCAAATGTGCTCAGAAGAAAACGAGAAAAAGAAGTAAAATATGGTGCTCGGTCCAATATGCGAATGGTTCGTAACAAACGAAGTGATATTAGTGGCATTGTTTCGGCAATTGATACTGAATCGGAGGATATTGATGAGCTGGACCAGGGCCAAGAAATGCAATTACAGGGAATGCAATTACAGAGCTCGCCAAAAGGTCATGAGGTGATGATTGAGCAGACTGTCAATAATAATGATAATAATGTTCCGATAATTGTGTCGTCACGACAAAGTCCTGATTTTACGAATAGGATATCATCGTATGTTCTTTATTTATTTAATAATTTGAGAGGCTGCAAGTTTAATGTTAATATTATCTATTTTTTTTCAGGATCCTGTGTCTAGTGCCCCAGTTAATAACAGTAGCATTTATCATTTGGTTTATTTATCAATTCGCTTCTGATGTGAATGTAATTATTAATGAAAACCTTCAAGGTAATTATTTGATATGTAAATTTATATTTTCAATGTAATTATAATTAATCATGGTAAAATTAATTAGATCGTGTTCGAGAGACAAGAGAGTGTTCCAAGAAATACTACCAGAATAGGTGTGAACCGGATGACCGGGTACCAGCGTTACAAGATATTTGTATTAAATGGGAACAATATCCTTTTTTTAGTCTCTTACTGTTTTTATTGATTCACCTTCTAATGCTTAAATAATAATTAATCCTTGATTTTTGTTCGAATACTTGTATGAATCGTGATCCTATTGTTTCAAAGTAAGTCATCCTATGCATTATCTAAATGATCATGATTCTCGCATTTAATTCTCACTCTTATTGAACATGAAATTTTAGAGCTGAAGTGTCAGCCGTGGTCATCGGAAAAGTACTTGATCGACTAATCGAGCAATTATCATATAAGACAATGGTATAATATTTATCACCGTGATAATCATGTTTCTCTCGTCTTCACTAATGAATCATATTAATTACCGCATGTGCAAAGATCTTCCTGGGAGCTGGGTTCACCATATTCATAGCAATCCTCATATACTTCCGATCACGGAATCATCATCAATCACAACCACAAACAGTAGTCGTCCCACCACTAACACCTCATCATCTATACTCAATGGCTGGAACGCCATTACCCATAACACCAATGAATTCATCACAAACACCAGCAGCAACTGACTTGCAGTGCATAATGTCATCATCACCGGTTGGTCAATTACAGCACTATAGTAGCTCAAATGCTGCGATGTTTAATACACCGTCGCCTCCTTCACACCGACGTCATATAACTCATTCACCTTCACATCATCATCCTCATTCTACTTTTCATCAACGTCATCATCATCATCAAAACACCGAGATTTATTATGTGGTTGCCCCTAAGCATACAGTATAATTTCAACGAAAGCAACGATTATTAATTATATCTCCTTATTCTACCTGAGGTAAGATTTTCTTAAAAAAAAAACAATCAAAATTCTGTTTGTAAACGTTGAAACAAGAATAAAGCATAATTAAATTATAACGATCATTTCGGATTTTCAAAGATAAATATTAATGTATATGCTGTCTTCTCAGAATCAAGAAATTACTCGAACTTGTTAAATATCAATTGAAGATTCATATACAGTCGCTATTAATTATTAATTTATTTTGTTCTTTACTCGAAGGAGATTGTCCAAAATTAGATGATATATTTAACCTAGTCCAATTGAAAACGGATCTGACCCTAAAATATAATTTTGTTCTTAATTACACTAACCATAAATGTCAAAATTAGTATAAAATTCCAAATTGTTATCGTTATGAATTTTAAATAAGATGAAAATCACAATGAAAAATTTAAAAAACAGTAGCAGCCCCGTTGATGATAATTCCCTAAATAATAGTATTAAAAATTATAAATAACGAAAAGTTTGTAGTTTCGGCAGAGATTACATTACAGGTTCTTAATTGGCGGAATGTCAAAATGTCGATTTAAATTCTGCATTGCAGCTGAGAACTGACAAATAACTTTTCGCACGTGAATTCCATTTATGAGTGTCATGCGAATGTATGTCGGATGTAGATCTATAACGCTGATTTTGTCTCTGGTTTTAACAACTGTGTGAGTTTTCAATAAATACTCTTTACGTGTTTTTTTCTTGTTTGATAATAAATCCAATATGGCCAGAACTCGATCTAGAAGTTTCATAACTGCAGAGAAACCCGCATCATACGATGACTTCCTTGATATGTCTGCTTTACCCAATTTCAACTCGAATTGGGTATATTTTAAAGGTTATTGTTTTGGATCTCTGTGTGTGTGTTTTTTCACTGACACTGACAATCATCAAATTTGACATTTTGAAACTTTTATATTATGACTGATAGGTGTTTGGTTTTTTCATATAATCCTCATTTTGTCGATTAAAATCATTTTCAGTATAATTCCGGGGGTTTCCTCGGAAACTAGCTGGACGTTGACAAACTTGTCCTACGATATAGTGAGTAACGAATATAAATGAATTGCTAGATAAACAATACGATAATTTTATGGGCTCAATTTACGATTTTTCGTCATTCTAATGATTTTTTTCCGTGATTGTTTTCAGGCTAGTTTTGTCATGTTCCATTGGGTAAAAGGAGTCCCATTCGATTTCAATTCAGGAGCGTACGATCGTCTAACCTTATGGGAACAAATTGATCACGGTGTTCAATTCACTCCTGCAAAGAAATATTTGACCGTCGTTCCGATCGGACTGTAAGTTGCCCTCCCCCCATCCACCCAATTGTTTTTTGATGACTTCTCCGTTATTGATATCATACATTCTACCTTTCGGGCGGTGGTGTTATTGATTGACATTTAGATTTCTATTGAGCACACATTACACGCACTATGATATTTATACATTTTTGATCAATTTCACGGCGGCTTCGATTGCACTGATTGCTAAATTACCTCAATTGGATAAAGTTCGACTGTTTGGAATAAATCGACTTCAGCACGAATAATGAAAAAATGAATCATTAATTAATTAATTGAAAGAATGAATTAACGAAGAATCGAGATGAATAGATCAATAAAAGGTTGTTTTGCTATGACGATGATGACGAGGAAGACGACGATCTAATCCACCCTCCTAATTACTATCAACGATAGAAACCGGAGCGTTTGTAAATATTTATTTATTTCACTTATAAATTGTATTTCCTTCCATCCAGATCGATTTAATCAGTCCTTAGATATATATTATGTGTATGTATGTATGTATTCGCTACTCTTTATATTTTTACTTGTATCTATCACTATACACTATATATGTATATGCATGCTTCATTCTCGCAAGAAGCGTAAAATAGTGATATAAAAACTAAATCAATCTCTGAACATGATTTATATATATAATAAATCAATAATATCACGAAAATGAAAAAAAATTGACAATATTTTTAACAGTAGTGATAAACAACAATGGAAATAAGCATTTTTTTTTTGGTAATTTTTGGTAATCGAATAATAGCAGATGATGATTCACCAGACCAGTTCACCAAGACAAACGATCGTGCTAAACTAGCACGAGAGATATTCTCTCACACGGATTTTTTATCTTCATTAGTATGATTCCCGACCACCTTCTCCAGCTCGTTGTACCGCTCCGACAATCGCATGTACTCGTCCGACTGTTGAACTGCTTGTTTCTTCAGAATGTCGAAGTCGTGTGATTTTTTCTTTTCTTCTTCTAATTGCTTAGAGAGTTTCTCGATTTCTTTTTTTAATTGAGATTCGTTGTCAGCTGATTTTCTGTAATCTTTTGATTGGGTCGCCGTCTTGTTTTTATTTATTTATTTTCATAACCACCAGAACCAAGAGTTAGTTTGTCGTGTAAAAAGTGGATACATCTCGAAAGATAAAACTCACCTGTCTCTTTATTTCTTCCAATTTCTCTTCGGCCGTCAATAGATCCAAGATCAAGACATATGTTCGATTGAGAATTCTGATTGTTGAAAAAAAAATGATTTTAACATTTTTCTTAGAGTAACGTGAATTCACATGAACTTATTATCATACACGTACAAAGAAAGAAATAGTGTAAATCCAGTCAGATACCTAAATAATAAAATGTGATTAATTCTCACAAAACAAAACAAAACATAGTAGAGGAGAGAATCACATGTTTCGTTGATTATAAAATTTCTTTGCGTGGATGTTAGTCTCACTCCTCAGGGATTGGATTTCGCTCGCATGTTGAGCCGACTCTTGCTCAACTTTCCAGACTCTGTTAAGTGAATCTTTTGATTGAAATAAAAATCGAATAAATTAGAAGAATAAATAAGATCGAAAGATGCGCAAAAAATTCGATAGTTAGTTTGCACCTGCAAAGAGAATAAATACAAAACTGCAAATGACAAGGTTAATTAGGATTAGTTCGTTATTTACACGCGCGATCACACGAAAAATTCCTTCGCACAAAAAAATTCGTCAACTCACATGAATAAAATCTTGAAGGCGTATTGCAACTTGGCAATCTATACATATGTACGCAAGATAACATTAGCAAGGAACCCCAATTCAACACTAATGAGCAATAATTAATTTTGATTCTCACGAGGACAGAATGAGAAACCCAACGGAACATAGTACGTCGCCACGAAGAAGGAAAAGGGAGCTTTGAAATCATTATTAGTAAAGTATCGATCAATAAATGATTTCAGAAAATACACTTATAACGATAAAAATGTAATATGTACTTGTAAACTTACAATCAGAAGTAAAAACACTGCCATCTTGATATCAAGCAAATGCAAAATATTTAAGGTTAAAATTCTTGAACAAAGTTTTCCGAAGTACAAGAGCAGAGCATTCATACCTCAAAAACTAGCAGCGCGAACACCAAACTTAGATAAAGAGTCATATTTGCTTAATTAATGTTGAATTCAAAAGACGAAAAGAGAACAAACAAATAAGGGAGATAAACTCTGGAGGTAAATTAGTTAGTTATCCGAAAAGTATAGCGACACGTTTCAAAATAGTGAATTTTTTTGAATTCCGGGTTTTGTATAGCCTATATAAAGAATTCGCGAAAGATGACGTGTGGTGCATTGCGTGAGAATCTTAATAAAATGTGTTGGCCGTTTTTTACTTGATTCTGTGTTGATCGTTGGATAGCATGCTTATCTTTCTTATCTTTCCAGATCTCTTGATTCGAAAAAAAATTAAAAATGATTACGCGTTCAAAAGCCCGCGCCAAAAATATTAATGTTGGACAAATTCCGACTACAGAAACGGGTACTAATACTTCGTCAACACAACAGCAGCAAACCGGCACTGCTGATAACATTGCTGAGATAGTGGATCTAGTGCCAATAGTACAAATCGAAGCGCTGAATACCGAAAATATTCATAATGATAATGTCTTGGTAGAAATTGACTCTGTGCCTTTCGTTGATAATGACAATGGTGGAAAGGATCACTCTTTTATCCAGAATGATAATGAAGAGGAGGAGGAGGAGGACCTCGATATCTTGTTAAGTAAAGCAGAAACCTCGTCAAGGGATAAACAGCAGCAGCAATTATCAGATGATGATCTCGATGTTTTGTTAAGTAAAACAGAAACACCGTCAAGGGATAAACAGCAACAACAACAGCAGCAGCAATTATCAGATGATGATCTCGATGTTCTGTTAAGTAAAGCAGAAACATTGTCAAGGGATAAACAGCAGCAGCAGCAATCATCAGATGATGACCTCGATGTTCTGTTAAGTAAAGCAGAAATAGCATTAAAGGAAAAACAGCAGCAGCAGCAGCAATCATCATCAAAGTGAGTTTGTTACGCGTAATAACAATAATTTGACAATATTTATGATACGATTATTAATATCTTTTATTAATTAAAGAACGGAAAAATCATCGAAACTTAAGTAAACACCTGTTAATTTCTTTAAACAATCCAGTATTAAAATCATTGTAAACAGGAATTAATTAGTTTATTTTCTATTTCTTTCATAGATTTCCAAGATTAGACGCCGGTATTTCAAAAAAAGATCACTCATACATTCGAACACACACAGGCGGCATTGTGTCTCTTCGGCGACCACAAAATGACGGTAATGTCATCGTTCAAGATAAAGAATCCGCGAAATTGCGTAATGGCCCTCAAAAAAATGATAGAAATGATCCTCCAAACCAATTAACCCGGAAACAGAAAAAAGAAGTACGGATAATTATTTGTTTGTGTTACTCGTTTTTGTTTAATGATGAGACTATAACACATGCCAGAAGCAAATCATATACTGTCAGCTGTGTTGGATTCAAATGTCATAGTTACACTGACATGATCAAATATATTTCACGCAAAAAGAATACATTCGATTTTTATTGATTCGTTTTATTTTAAAAAAATAATGCAGCTTAGAGAAGCTACCACCGGACCTGGATGGTTTGACATGCCAAAACCCGAACTGACACCAGAACTAAAACGAGATCTTCAAGTTGTGAAATTACGTAACGTTCTTGATCCGAAACATTTCTACAAAAAAGAAGATTCGAAACAATTTCCGAAGTATTTCCAGGTAAGAATTTACGAGTTATAATTTTATTACGACCAGCCGCTGCATTTTATCTATTTCGAATCGACGACGACGATTGCTTGCACCAAATATAGGTTGGCACGATAATAGAAGGGCCAACAGAATTCTATTCCTCACGGTTACCACGTAAACAACGAAAGCAAACTATCGTTGAAGAGCTGATGGCCAACGAAGAAGCCAAATCATATTACAAACGCAAATTCTTGGAGATTCAAGAGGTACTAATTTTTATATTGTTTCTTTTGCCTATATTGCTTATGATAATATTAATAATTTCATTGATTTCATTCAACTCCTGGATAATGTTAGACGAAACAAAGCGGCGGTAAAAAACACTATAATAATTTGAAGAAGAGACGGAAACCTAATTGGGAAAAGAATTTTTGATTTTTTCATTGTGAATTATTTCTGCATCGTTTAAAATATGGTAGATGCCACACACCAGTGTTGCCACTTCACTTCGTGGCTCTAACGCTAATTTAGTAAGTCGATATAAGAGACACGACATATATACGTATTGATATAAGCAATTTCGCCCAGATGCATTCTAATCTTCAAAAGCCTAGAGTAACATCACCCCCTATTTACAATCATGATGATACATACACTCCAATAAAGATGATTATTCCTGCTTTGCGATATCGATCATATCTATTTTTTTTTTTGAGCAAAAAAAAAATTTGGTTGAACATTGATGATCATAATGATTATGCAATCGTGTAAATTTTTTTTGCATGACAGCGAATCAAATCAGATTCGAGTCGCGGAATCTCTGGCGCTCTTGTACATTCACATGTTTCTATCTATCTGAGTAGCAATTTTCCTTAATGTGGATGATTATAAAGAATTCGAGATAGAGACGGAGACGGAGACGGAGAAAAAGTAGAATTAATTATAATACTTTTGATTTTTTTAAAATCATGTGCGTGATACATTTTAAAAGACAAAATTGGTTGTGTGATGAAAAATCCGGACTTATAATCTCTAGAAAAATATATTCGAGCACGTGTATATTTGTGTTTTGGGTGTTATACAAAAAGAAGAATGAATAAGATGCTATTATTGCTATTCTGTCTTTAAAGAGAGATCACTAGTAGATGTATGTATGTATGTGTGTGTATGTATGTGTATGTGTATTGTATATATATAAAATATAGAGTAAGTATATTTATATATATTTTTAATAATGACATTTGCTTGATTTTTCTTCTATAATAAAATAAGTAGTTTAATTTAGAAAATGGTAATTGTAGTGGTTGTAATAATAGTAATAAACTACTACTAAGTAGTACCATATATAATAATAAAAATACTAAAAATAGAAAAATATAACTGTACAGAGATGAAATTAAAAAAAAAAGGAAATTTATTTCGCTTCAAATTATGAAGAGAACAATGATCTAGAAATAGAAAGGCTTTCTCCACTACCACCATCACTCGTAGTTATTTCTTTTCCAATTCTATGATCCCATTAATAATAGTAATTTTTATCATGGCTGATTCTTTGGTCTTCTTAGTCCAAACGAGCTTGGAGGTCTTAATTGTGTTCCAACTGAGGTTGCCAATTTCGAGGGTGTAGTCGCAGCAGTATCAGTAGCAGGGGGAGGAGTGAATCTTGAAGGTGGTAATTTACTTGCACTAGATAAACTACGTGTCACGCCTACCCCAGATTTTCGTACTGGAGAATTTCCTATTAAAGTTGGCGGTATCGGAGATGTTCCTCTACCTGGTGATGAACCATAAGAAACAGAGCTAGTTAACGAGGTCAACGAATCGGTTTCGGATCCATTGGTCGGTGATTCAGGAGGTGAGAACAACGAGTATTCTTCGTACGATGACAGGCTATCAGAGCTACGACGTCCACCATTATACCCAGATAGCCCAGATGTTCGAAGCATCGAAGAACCAGGTCTGTTTGAAATTCCGGTTGGACTTGTAATGCGGCTAGCGGCGGAATTTGGCGAGACTGCAATTGACATAGGCCGAGGTTTTTTATTGTTATATAGAGTAGAAGTTTTAGGTTTCGATTCGGAAATTGTACTAAGTCGACTTGATGGTCTTGATGATGAAGCTGAGCCGGGCGTTTTTTGGATGCCTGCTCGACTTGAAGGCCTTGCTAAACCTGAAGGTGGCGTAATATTTGATGCTTGCGGAAGCGTGGATGTTCTTGTTGGAGTAGTTTGTTTTGCTCCTTCACCAACAAGACTACCTCGAATTTGAGTTGGTGATGAAGGTCTACTAATACCGGATGGTAATCTAGTTTGATTTAATCCTGCCCTGCTTAAAGGTCGAACAGGTGTAGCAATTGATTTAGATGCCACTGCAGCTCTGGCTTCATCTCTTGAACTATTACTGGCACCACTCAATGTTCTCTGACGTGGAGCAGGTATTTGATTACTATTAGTATTTTTTGTAGGAGTGCCTTGTGGTAATTGAGTCCTACGAGGAGGAGGAGAACTGATCCTTGATGCTGTAGATGTAGTGCTCTCGTCAGCAGAACTATTACTTACAACACTCATTGATCTTGGCCGACCAGGTGTAGGACTTGTCATCATTTGTCGATTTGGAGATGCAATTTTTGATGCGACACCCGTTGTGCCAATTCTATTAGGTTTACGAAGTCCTGCGTATTGTCTTCGTGCTGAATTTGCCGACTTTGTACTATTTGATGACATCACTGAAGTCATTGATCCATTTGACATTGTCTCATATTCATCGTGATCTGCGACAGATGAAGCTCTTGACGATGATGGAGACGAGCCAAAATGAGAAGAGAAAACAGGTTTTGGTAATCCCACAGGAATTCCCTTGAATCCACCATGAGATGTACGCAATGAAGGTATCGGAGACGGTGATTTTGGATCTATCATTGATGACATTTGTACATCGAGCGTCCTATCAAAGTCATCTTCTTCCTGTGAATTTTCCGGGAAGTTATTTGAATTGGCCGTGATATCGTCAACTTCCTGTGTGACAACCTTCAAGAGTATATCTTCTTCTTCTTTGACAGAATACATAAGAGTCAGTAGATTCGGACTGTCTCTAGGATCCGGTGATAATTGACGATGAGGAGTAATGGAAAGGCGTCCATCCAGTTCCATATTATCGACATCCAAATTTTTTCCGTGCTTTGAAGGTATAGTTGGTTCTAAAACGGGCGTCAATTGTGTATCTAACGTCCTATCAAATTCATCTTCTTCTAGCGAATTTTCTGGGAAGGTATTTAAATTGGCGGTAATGTCGTCAACTTCCTCAGTGAGAAGAGCATGACTAAATTCATCGTCCTCTTTGATATTTATATTTCTATTGTTATTTTTAAGTACCATTGGATCAGGTGACCGAGACAACGGTGACAAATGTTTTTGCAATTCAGAAGTATCAATTTTATCTAAATTCCAGAAATTTTCGTCGTCATCGTCCATTACATCAACAAGTCCTGAATCTATTCCCGATTCTAAATCACCTGTTTGTGCTAATATCGCATCCCAATCCAAAGAATCATCAGACTCGTTACCTTCCAGAGAATGAGTTGACGATTTCGGCGTAATAATCTCATTATTCCCGCTGCTGGTGGTGGCTGCTGTTGATTCATCATTAACGGACGGATTCTTTTTCTTTTCAGGAACAGCGATGAAAATGTCCTCAGTGTCCCCTGAAACTTGTCGTTTTTTCTGTCTCTTTAATTCCATTAGTTGTTTTCTTTGCGCGCGCCGAGCTATTGCCGCTTTTTGTCTTTTCTCTTCTGCATCTGCATTCATATTCTGTGATGAGGATGAGTTATCCTTTTCTGAATTTTTAGGCTTTATATTTCCATCATCAGTATCTTCAGATACCAATGACGAAATAGAATTGTCTTTATTATGTGCTCGCTTAATTGCAAAGTATTCTTTTAAGCTTTCCCTCTTCGTGTTTTTGTCAGCAGAAGTGTCTTCTGCTGAATTGTCTATTTGTCCATTGGTGTTGTTAGCAAGGGACTGCTTTTTTATGAAATATTGTTTCAAACTTTCTCGTCGTGTTAGTAGCGCTTGCGCTTGAGCTTCTTTTTCTTGTCGTTCTTCTTCGGTTAATTCGGGAGTATTATCTTCATTCAATATATTATCTTTTTCGTCTTTTTCTGTTTCGTTCTCTTCATTGATATCATTATGAATATCATTATTATTATTTGCTGCATCACCTTCAATGGTGCTCGTCAATATTTCAGCTTCAGACTCGACATGGAGCTTCTCGAAGTCGTTGACTAAGTTGTCGTGAGGCTGTTGTTCATCTATGAAAGCTGGTTCTTTGTGACTCGGGTCTTTTAAATTTGAAGCTTCCAAATTATCTTGGTTGCTATTATCGATATTGTCACTATTACTATTTGTTGTTGAAGGTATTATTATTGCAGTTGTAAGGTCGTTATTATTGATATTTTCGCCATTGGGTGTTTCTGCTCCCGCTGGCTGATTTTTGGCGTTTTCTTCCTCGAGTTTACGAACCAAAAATAACTCTCTCATTTTTTCAGAAAAAACTACTGGTAAGCGGTGTTATTATTCCTTATGTATTATATTGGTTTATTACTAATAACGCTCAAATATATTAAGTAGTGGTGGTGGTGTTTGATAATATGTGTATGTGGAGTGTGTGTGAATTATGTTACGCTTGCTCGAAAAAATAATTATTCCTACTATTACTACTACTACAACCATAAACCAAGCTTATTTAGATAACGATAGTACATGTGTAGTATTACAATGATAATATTAAACTAAATTATATACTGCAACAAAATGAAAATCGACGCCACCAAGACGCCACAATAGCACAAACATCAATTACAACAATAATGCGATTTTTTCTCACTCTCATATTTTGTAATCAGACATTACATTGTTACTGTTAATGGATAAAATATCGATATCGATGGAGTAATTATAGTAAATACCCCTCGATAAACCCGAATTTATTAAATAACCTCGATAACCGAATTTTTCCGACCACTTCGGTTTAACAGGGTACTACGTAGTTGCCGTCGAAAATCAAAACCCCAAGATTCCTTTTCGCCGAAGGTTGCTAGAACCGTTTCTCAAGGAATATGTTCCCATACTGAATCTTCAGGACATCCACGCTTTTTTGTGAGCAAATATCAATGCTGGAAATTGTGCTTTTACTAGATGTCATTTTTACAAATTTGAATTATTTCAAGTAATAATTACATCATAGTGATCAAAGGTAATTTAGACAAATATCGATCTTAAAGATTTGACATTTTATAAGTTATCATATTTGTATACACGAACACAAATTTTATGTGAAAAATTTGACTTCTTTGTATACAAATTAAAAATTAGAAATCGAGTACATTTTAAACGTTGTTACCAAAGTAAATAAGCTAATATTATTAAAGCAGATAAAATAGCTAATGTTATTGATGTGCATTCTCAATAATATTATTGAAAATATATTTTCAAGTACAACTAATAAGAATGAAGTCATCTTTTGGTCAATATAATATCCCGATCAGGGACCCGGAAAAATTTGTATCCATTTGTTCACAATATAAATCATACGATTACTTGCAATGATTTGATTGGCTATAAATAACATTCACGTGCTTCGATTTGAATTATTGCTTAATTTCTTAATGCTGGCCAAAATCAAAATTTCTGATGTTGCTTTATAAATATATAATGATTAACAGTATTATGAAATCACACATGCAATTTTATTAATATAATATAATAAAAATTGAATTTTTGTTTTACAATAACTAACAGAATTATGGAATTACACATATAATTTTATTAATAAATATTTTTTATTTTTGTATTAAAACAAAAATTATAAGTTATATTTTAATATATATTTTTTAGATTTTTTTCTGATAAAATTGTTCTAATTACAAAGTTATTGCAAAAATTTTTTTATATTTTAATTATAAAAAATTTTTGTAATAATTTTGTAATTAAAACAACTTTATCAAAAAAAATCTAAAAAATATATATTAAAATATAACTTTTAATCTTTATTTTAATACAAAAATAAAAAATATTTATTAATAAAATTAAAAACTTTATATAAGACAAAAATTTTAATTTTTTCTATATTTTATTAATAAAATCACATATATGATTCCATAATTCTATTAATTATTATATATAAAAATTTCAATTTTATTAATAATAAATTTTTTATTTTTATATCAAAATAAAAATCATAAGTTATATTTTAATATATATTTTTTCTGGATTTTTAGATTTTTTCTAAAAGATAAAAATTTTAATTTTTATTATATTTTATTAATAAAATCACATACATGATTTCATAATTTTATTAACTATTATATATTATTTATTTATTTTAAAATTATTAATACAAACAATTTTTATTTCTTTATTAATTTATAATTTTATTTTATTAAATTCAAATATTTTTTTTAAACTTTAAAATATAAATATATAATTTTATATTAAAATTTTATTTTATTTATATTTTAATATAAAATTTTATTTTATTTATATTTTAATATAAAAATTTTATTTATATTTTAATATAAAAATTTTCTGATTGTAATATTTTTTATCAATTTATTCTGACTCTTAATATTAAATAAATACAAGAAGTATCACTCCAATCAAGAAGGCAGTATGCTTTAAGAACTATAATAAGTGCAAATGGTATTCATATCTGTACTATCTTTTTGGGCAAAAATAAGCCTAAATTATGTTACAATTTGATATTTCATTCGGTCAAGACACGTAATAATATTGTTATTATATTATTACAATGATGATGGATTTAATTTTTATCTAATCAGTTATTTTTGTGATTTTTTTGGGCGAGAAGCGCGTCTTCCACTTGCCTGAGTGGTTGTAGTAGTGTTAGATGTATTAGTATGAGTATTATTAATTGCTGATACGTCAGAGGGACGTCTCCCACGACCTCGTTTGACAGGCGTTTTTGGAGCTGGGGTTTCGGCTGTTGTTTCCACTTTCTTTGGTGGTCTTGATGTTCTTCTAGATTTCTTTGGCGGTGGTTCTTTGGAATAATAAAATATTATCCAATTATATTAATTGATTTATTGGTTTGTTGAAGGTTAAATTACAAAAAAAAAGAGAATGAAACCTTCTGGTTCCGGTGATGATGAAGCAGTTGATCGAGTAGTACTCGTAGGTGATTGTGCCAATTCTTTTTTTCCGCCTTTTTGACCTTTCATATTAGCAGTAGTAGTAGTGATGCTAGTAATTGACGGTGGGGATTCGACAGAACGTGAAGAATTTGCTTTTCGATATTCTGCTATTAATTGGTCATAATCATCCATGGGCAAGCTAAATTCTTTTATTGATCGATCATCACTATCACCCTCTCCTCCTTCAAATTCGAATTCCTGCATTTTAAGTCGTTAATTCCTTCTTAGTCTTTTTTATTTGCCACTATACACTACACTCACAAAATACTAACCATTTCATCAAGCTGTTCAAGATCAAAAAAGAAATTGAGCCTATCCCATAATTGTTGTATCGTACACTTTACTGGACTAAGAGCATTATATTCTCTATGAATGTATATCATGCGAAAGTGCTTGTGTATTCCTTTTACAGGAGTATCATAAGGAGAAATCAAATATATAGCGAGAACATACAAAAACAGAAAGCAGATATTGAAAGTCACAACAACAGACCAACAGGTCGTATTTTCATTACGGCATTGAATAAGGCAATATCCATTTTTGTATCCCAATCTAAACGCCACTCTTGCGAGCGTGGAGTGTCCATGGGGACTATGGAGCTATTTGTGGTGGTAATGGTTTGTGGTAATTGGATAGCTCCACCACCTCCACCTCCCGGTGAGGTTGCAAACTCACTACTACTAGTCTTTGTCTGATGGTTAGACTCATTCGAAAAGCATTGGGAAGTTTTGCTGTTCTTTATATCCGCCATTAATAAATTTTATTGTGTCCAAGACCTATTATTTATTATTTATTATTCATTATTTATTGTAATAAATTACGCGATAAACGCTTTCTGACAACGATGATTGGTCAAATTTCATAATTTGGATTTACAATTTACAAAACAGATTTTTATACAAAAACTCTCAAAAGCATAATTTTTAACTATACCGATAAGAAAAAGCTAAAGATGACTTGTTATTGAAAAAGAAATTTTTATTACTATCGCAATCGTATAACGATAAAGGAAACTAAATATCAACAATGTTGAACCAACCAAACAACTTATTTCGGTTGGTCCTAATTTATCGGCACGTTACACAGTAGGCCTAGGGTAAATGAAAATCTAAAATTTTGGTCAGAAATAACACACATACTAATCCTCCCATTTGTATACTCGGAACAGATATTATTCGTAATTAAAATGTTTCCACGATTAAGATTGCTAAGGCCTCTGGTAAGTAAACCACAAGTATAACTTTTCTCCAATTATTGAGGGATTATCCGATGATCAAAAAATGATTGGTGTAGTTAGTTCAAAAGTCATGGACCTCACAATAGGTACAATTGAAAAGTAAGTGTTTTTAAAAATCATAATTTATCGTTATAATTAACTATTTGATAATCAAAACCTTTTTTAATAACAAATAGTATCGATCCCTTTGAAAACGCGGAAGTTGAGATACGTGGTGGGATCGTAAAAATAAAAGTAGCAAAAGCGACAAATCCCTTAAAAAAATTGAAAATCAACTATGTCTGTTATTGAAAACCAAATTGAGAAAAAGAACAGGAAATTAGATTTAATGAAAAAAAAAGATCGGGGAAAATTAGATTTTAATGGCTAGTATTACGAATCTTAAGAATGAGGTCAAAAACCGCAATTAACATCTCTTATCAAAATGAACGGAACAAACCCGCATGTAGTAGAGATTTTTTCATTCTTTTTACAACTGCCAAAGACTGAAATTTCGAACTCTGGGATTGTGGATGCCTCAAACTGGAAAGAATACTTAGGACCATTTGCTGGCAAAGCACACATTTACGCCATAGTAGGTCCTCTGAATATAAATACCGCAACTTACACAGAGCTTATGACAATTGATGGAATTGGTAAAGGAAGATCAAGGACAATCCTCGATAAGAGACCATTTAAAGACCTTGAAGACGCGAAAAAGAAGACGGGTATACCAGAAAGGGTGTTGAAAAGATTAAATATTCAGAGGTGATGGATTGATGTAGAAACACAGAATATTGCGCTACATAGTCATGTATACTGTGACAAGTTATCATTTCTATATTCTTATGTATTAGTTTAGCATCATTAATAAAGTTTCGCCCGATTGGAATTTATTCTTTTAATTATGCATATATGCAAAGATAATTGGCTTATTTTGTTTTGCTTAATCAATCATTATATAATGTATATTATCCCATGGGTACTATATATACACCAGTGAAAACTTTCCCATAGCGATAGTATTATCACACTTAATATTTATATTCACGTGATTTATAATTATTACATATTCTTATATATCAGAAATGATGAAAATGATAATGAATTTCTTTTCATTAAGATTCATTATATCTTGAGGATTTGGAGGAATATTGATTAAAAATATTGTTTAATGGAGTTCTTGACTGTAATATGATTTATGAATCATGAAGATCGAGGAATTCTTGATTGTGTAATATAATTTATAGATCTTGAAGGCTGAGAAATTCGTGAATAGTTTTTATTTTTAAAATATATATTAAAAGAATATATAAATAATAAATAGTAAAATATATTAATGTAAAATCCTTGTAATTTCTTTAGTTTTAATTTTATAGTTTCTTTAATTTTGATATTTTCTTTATGAAGTTGATTAGCTGAAATAAATACTGAAACTAATAATAGAATAGATAAAACATTCAATATAAATGTAAATATATATATTATAAATAAATTTATTTTCTTGCTCATTATAATTCTTTTCAATAATCAAATCTAAAAAATTTATACTATTTCCAGAAAAATAAACAAATTCTTCATTAGAAATATCTTTATGATCATATTTTTAATTTTTTGATTCTTATTAGAATTACTATAAATATGAATTCCTTCTCTATTATAATATTCAGAAAATTTTATATATTTATCTTCTGATATATTAAAATCTTTTAATTATTGAATTACATATTTTTTATTTATTATCAAGATTAATATTTGTTAATTTAACTATTTTAGATATTATTATACTTAATTTATTTGCATTCATACTATTTGTTTTAAACCAAATATTTTTTTGTAAATCAAAAAAATATATAAAAATTTAAAATTTAAAAAACAAATTTTAAAAAATAAAATTATATCTTTTGCTATATATATTATTTTTAAAAAAATTCACAAGTTCTGATAAATTATATTAATAAAAAAATAAAATATTATAAACAAATTTAAATCAATTATTAAATATATTAGAAGAAATAAAAATTTTTCTTGCAGAAAATTTTTTATATTTATTTTTTATATTTATTTTTTTTATATTTCACATTAATTATTTTTTTCTTTTATAAATAAATAAAATTCACTATTAAAATAATAAATTATATCAAAAGTACAAATTCTTATAATATTTCTATTTCAAAAATTATAAAAAAGTAATAGTCAAAAAACTTAATGAATTAAGCTTTCATTATTATTAATTTATATATATATATATATTTATAATTAAATATATGAAATATTTTTTTAGTTGTTAAAGAGAAGCTTGATTTATTTTATCTAAATCAACAAGTTGAAGCTTTTTTTATTTGTTATTATATATTTAAAGAGTCTTGTTAAATTAATAATTTGTATAATTATATATTATTATTTTTCTTTAAATAATAAAGTATAATAATTATAAATATTTTTAGTTTTATAATTATTTTTATCAAGATATTTTAATTAATAAAAAAATCTTTTAAATCACTTATAGATAATATATATTTAATAAGAATTTCATAATTTGTAATTTCGTAAAAATAATCAATTGCTTATAATTATTTTGAAATATATTTATCAATATTTAAAATATTAAATTAGTATAATTTTAATAAAAACAAAATAAAAACTAACAAAAAATTTACAAATATATAAATATTAAATATAATAATATTATGAATTTTATCAAATATATGTCATATATATAAGATATAACATATTTGAAATGTATGTCAAATTTGAAGTATATTTACTTGTATATATAATACAAATTCAAAAATAGATATTCAGAATAAAAATGATTTTCTAAATTATTTTTGGAAAAAATGATATTTCAGCAAATAATTCAATTTTTTTATGTTGCTTATATTAATGAATACTTAAAAATCATCTAGAAATACTTGTTTTGATTTATAAAATTCAAATAATTTCAGAAAAAAATTTCAGCTACTAATAAAATAAGTCAAAATAATTTCAGATTTAATTTCAGCAAGTTAATTTCAGCAAATTATTTAATTAAATAATGTCATTTTGATAATCATTCTTAATTTAGAATGATACAAACAAATAAGAAAACATAAATTTTTTGATCAATTTAGCAAAACAAATTTAATACAAGAGAGAAAAATACAAAAATACAGAAAATAATATTTAAATTTAACTTGAAGTACTAATAAAAATGTTAAAAAGATAATTTTATATATAATTTTATTCTCACTTTAATACTAACTCTAATTCTAACTTGTAATATTTATAAATATATTTGTTATATACTTTGTATTATATGCATAAATAAGTATATTTATTAATTTATACCATTAATAAATTATATTCTTATTGAATTGTAGTATAAATCTGATATATGTTATGATATAAGTATAATTATTTGTGTATATAATACAAACTCAAAAATAATTATTCATAATAATGCAAATTAATAAATTTTTTAACTAATCTAGCAAAACAAATTTAACTTAAAATGCTAATAAAAAATATTAAAAAAATAATTTTATATATAATCAAATCTTTTTATAATTATCATTTTTGGAAAAATAAAATTTGGTGATTATAAAGAGAATGTGATTATAAAAAAATTTTTTTACTATATTTATATGTAAATAAAAAAGCAAACTAAGATAATTATAAAAATATATAACTATAAATAGATGTAATTATAGAAAAATTTAACTATATAATCTTATTCTTGCTCTAATTCTAACTCTAATTCTAACTTGTAATATTCATAAATATATTTGTATATTATATATACAAATAAGTATATAGTTAAATCTTTCTATAATTATCACTTTTAAAAAAGTAAGCTTTGGTAAGTATAAAAGGAATGTAATTATAAAGTGAATTTTTTTTACTATATTTATATATAAATAGAAAAGCAAAATAGGATAACTATAGAGAGGTATAACTATAAATAGATATAACTATAAAAAGATTTGACTGTATATTCAAATTTCTCTATAGTTATCACTTTCAGAAAAGTAAAATAGGATAATTATAAAAAAATATAATTATAGAGAAGTTTTTTTACTATATTTATATATAAATATAAAAGCAAAATAAAAATAACTATAAAGAAGTGTAATTATAAATAAGTATAATTATAAAGATATTTGACTATATTCCTAGAATATAATATCCTAATTTTAATAAATAAAATATATAATATATATAATAATAAACTAATTTAATTAATAAAATTTTATGTAACTAATAGAAATATAACAAATTTTTGATCAACTTAATAAAACAAATCTAATATAAAAAAATGTAAAAAGACAAAAAATGTGAAAAATATTATTATAATAATAATAATAATTTCACAAATTTAAGAAAGTCATAGTTTTTAAAAAAAAGCAAAAAAAAACAGAAAATTCCTAAAAATATTAAAAATACAAAAAATAGTAAAAATAATTTATAACATATTATTTTACCTTTTATTTTAGCTTTATTATTATTTTATCCAATTATTTTATCTTTTATTTTATCTTTTAATTATTTTATCTTTTATTTTATCTTTAATTTTATTTTTATTTTATCTTTTTGATTAATTATTTTACCTTTAGATAATTATTATATTTGAAATTGTATTTTCAAAAAATATATAAATAAAGATGTTATTTGAATCTTAATATATTATAAACAAAAAATAAAATTCACTCTTAACAAAAATCTTCTTTCAAATAATATTAACCTCTTTTACTTTCAATTATACACATTAAAGCTTGTATATAAGTGATTTTGAACCATATTATACTAAACAAAATAATATTATTAATTTTGAACTTTAGATTATATTGTACTAAACAAATTACTGTTATTGAATTATTAGCTTTATATCATATTGTGCTGAACAAATCACTATTATTGGATTTATTGATTTTAATTAAGTATTTTGATTTTAATTAAGTATTTTAATTTTTATTATTTTGAATTTTTGTTATTTTTAAATTTAATATTTTGATATTTCTCATTTGTAATAAGAACAAAGTAAAAAAAGTAATTGTTATTGTTATTACTAATTATATCATCTTAGCTCTGAAAAGCACAAAGTATTAGCATTCCAAAATTCTCTTTATTATTTATTCTTTTATTATTTTATAATTTCTCTCTCCTCTCTTTGATCTTTACTCTTTTACAACTCTCATATTATTATTATATTTTTGAATTATTACAATTTTCCATAAAAATTGGCATAGAACTTAGATACCTCTCTTTTTTTTAATATTTTGTTTATTGTTTAATTCCCTCTTCCAATCCAGTTCCAAGTTTGTAAGTTAATTTAACAATTAGTAAACAAACTTGTAACAATACAAAAAACATATGTCTAAATCTAGCTTGATGCACTATCAAAAAATGTTGAGAAGACAATTTTATTTATAACCGTGACCTAAGAACCCTAATAATTGATATCTAATATTAATCGGATATTTTAATGGACTTATTTCAGATCACATGCACATGGGATAATATAGTTATTCACCATGTAATGATAAATAACAAAAATAAATTGTGTACAGTCAAAAACTTGCACTTAGAGAGGTATTGCATTTATGGAGGTAAACTTACATATATATCTTATAAGTTGGGACCAAATTAGAACGTGCATTAAGAGAATAATTGCACTTAGAGGGGTTGCACTTGGGAGGTCTGACTGTACATCAAAAAAAATATATTACATTCTCACAGACCGAAAAAAAAGAAAATCTTTCATAATACTCGAATAATTTTGTATTTTATCATGTAACTTATTTTTGCTGACCCGAGGTCGAATTTTCATACATAATCGCGTTTATTATATGAGAATTCTAAATATAGAGAGATACACCGATTTTACGTAATATGGGTAATTAGTATGGGTGACGGAAATGGTGAAATTTGCGGATGTATATTTACTTTAATAAATGGTCCATAGGCCCTATATTATGATTGATGAGTCAGCAATCCTCGTAGGTAAGATGGTGGAACAAAGAATGGCACCTTGTGCCTGTACTTTGTACTGAAATATACCAGAAAAGCTTCCAGAGACCGAAATCATACTACAAATAATTTTTGGGACAACAAGGTTACAATTTTTTCCGATATCTAAAAAACAAATCAAACAAGTCAAAAACATCAAAAATCGATTTTTTTCGCACTAATAATATTTTTATATCTGTCTTTTTCCACCACCTCCCTATTAAATCCCACCTATATAGAAACAGAAATCAGACAGACAATCATTCTTAGCCTTGCTAGCTTCGTTAATGCGTTGTATCTCGAACCAAAGTTTTGTCCACATCAGGCTTTTATTTCTTCACTTTGTGTATACATGCAGTGTGTGTGGAAAAATAAAAAATGTATACTATCAGATTCGTCGGTTTATGCTATTAACTATCGCATAATGCATTTGAACGCATTGTAAATGGTAAAATTTTATCATTTTTTTAATTGTGTTCTCGTATGCTAATTAACTTGAAATTTTAAATAAATCTGCGTCTCATATAAATGTTATCATCAAACATGGCATCCGAGACCGATTTATCTTTCTCCGAAAGTGCATTTCATGCATTGAGACAAGAAGTTACTCATATGCATTCGAAAATTTTTGCATTGTTTTTTTCATGTCCCATATATGGCACTCATTCCACCCCGCGCGAGTATATATTGGGATAGTTTTTCATGTAGTTCTTTTGTGTATTCAAGGAGGTCTAATATGGGATTATTTTGACTATATCTCAGTCATCTTTGATAAAAAAGCTAAATTGCAGAAACTCATTAATAATAAACTGGAATATGTTATGAATATGTTATTTAAACATATCTAACTATTGTACAACTTTGAAATCAAAAGATAATATAATATACCTTTGGTTATTAAATTATAAAAAATATTGAAGCAATGAATTATTCAGATTAGAATTTCTTTACAAGAACTGAAAAGAAAAGGAATGTCTATTATATACATTATTTAAATATATTATTTAGAAATTCCAAGCTAATGGATTATGATTACTACAAAATTTAGAATTCATAAAAATAATATTGTAATATATTTAAACTATATAAAGCTTATGTATATATACTAATGATATAAAATCAAGAAATTCTCTTGTGCTAAATATAAATATATGAAAATTATCAAACTGATCATTACTTTTCATGTTGATTGTAACTAAAAATAAATGAAATATTAAGAGATAAATAATTTTGTTTATTATATTATTTATATATTATAAAAATAATAAGATAAAAAAACTAGAAAAAATAATAAAATAAAAAAATAGAAAAATAAAATATTTAATAAGTTATTTTTGCTAATATAATTATTTTTTAAACTATTTTTGAAATTATTTTTGTTTTTTATTATTTTTGGATTTTCACAATATTTTGAAAATTAAAAAATTTACAATATTATAATAATTTTATAAATTTCACAAACTTTACAAATATTATTTTTATAATTATAATATTATTATTAAATATATAATTATTTATAAAATATTAGTAAAAAATATCTATTATAAATAAAAACATAATTGAAGTTTTAAAAAAGATATTAATTAATCTTTATATATAATATACAAATTATTAGAAAATAAAAAAATTACCATGAACAATTTCTCTTCAAGAATTATCTGGAAGACATCATATTTATACAAAACAATATCAAAAATCAAATGAAAAATCAAGAAAATCTGTTTTATAACATTCTTGCAGAATTATTACCAATAAAACTAAAAATAAAATGCAGAGATTTGATGATAATAATGACAAATCCTGAGATATCTGGTATTGACTTTATTAAGTTTACAAAAACATCAAAAATTGGATAATAACAAAAAATATATATTCATGACTGAAAAAGTTGAATATGAATTTTATTATTATTGTATTGGATTTATTTCTAACTATATGACAATAGTTTAATTGATTATTGTCGATAAATTCATCCTTTTTTTGCGTCTAAATTCTGCTGGTTATGATATTTCTGATTTTTGAGATAAAAGTTAACATGCTCGTGGTCATCTAAACGTGATACGTTCCATTTGTTTGATGATTTGAAAATAAATTAGTTAATAAGATTGTGCAATCCTCTATAATTAAACAAGAAAAATTATCATCATTCAATATCTCAATAATTAATAATAATATTATTAATCGTTGTATCAATATTACATGAAATATTACTAGAATCTGCCCGCGTTTGTATCAGCAAGTAATTAAATAGTTGCCTAATACAAAAAATCATCGGACAAAACTTGATTTTTTTGATTTTTTTTTGTTTACAAAAGTACACGGTATTAATTTTGTGTGTTGTATCTATGCGTGTCTGTGTGAGAGTTGATGTGTTTGTGAAAATCGGATTAATGCTACAAGTTAATATTTTGCTGGGAACAGTGTTCGTTTTGGAGTGTTTGTAAATGCGAGAATCAATGTAGAGTTATTTTGAAATAATTGATGTCGATAACAGTCTAAATCGGTTAAAAATGTATTGATCGACAAAAGAATGATAACAAAAAGAGAGCCCGAAGAGAAAAACCAGTTACGTCTTCGTTTACCAAGAATGCTATATGTATTGTGATGATGATAATGTGAAGATTAGGTAAAGATTTTGTCTGTTGGTTGAATAGTGATTGATTGATATAGTGATAACAAAATATGGAAATTCTATTTGTGCTCTATATATTGTTATTATGATAATTAAGAATATAGGTTATTATGAAATAATAAAAATATTACACGTGAGGTAGGTAATGAATAATCGTTGGGTGATTAAAAGAGTGGAAGGGAGATCAAAGAACCATCAGACTTAACCGATTAGTTGCATGTCCTCATGAGAGGGATTCGAAATTATTGGTTATATATATATTTATATAATAAAATTGGATTAATGGAAGACGCAACGTGATTTTTACGGGACGGACATCCTTCTTTCCAGGGATTCCAATCTTTCCTGTAAAGCACTCAACATACTAGGGTAATCTTTGAGATTATCTGATCCTCCCCCGTTCAAAGTGGCAGTTAAAGGTGGACTAGTACCACCAACAATCGGATGTACACTAGTTGTGGGAGTATAAGGAGATCCTGAAGCATAACTATTAGTACTACTAGTATTTCCACTATAAGCGGTAGATGGACGATGGCTAAGATGATGATGCGGGTAACCCATATCATAACTAGCGGTACTGATATCACTCAAGCGTCTATCGGGGTCGAGTGGTGGACTGAGACTCATACCCACAACAGAACTTTGTCGTATTTCTCTTTCCACTTTGGCGATCCGTTTTTCAAGTGTCATCAAATCTTTGACAATGTCTCGTTGCATCTCTCTAAAATGTCCACGTACCAAACCTTCGATCATGGAACCGGAAGTTTGGAGAGTTTGCAGCAGAGTTGAAGATTTTCGAATTTGATCTTCGAGAGTCGATTTGAGATTACGACTATCAGCAACGGTATCGTATAATGAATCAAATAAATTTATGAAAGATTCCTTGTTAGTTCTGTCGCCATGGGTTAAATCATCCATTGAGGAAGATGACCTTTCTTGTTGTTTAACATTATCAGGGGCAATATTATTTGATGATGAACTCGAAGACAGAAATTCAACATTCTGTGAAGAAATGAGACCATTAATACTAGCACTCTTTGACGCTGAATGTGTATTATTAACGTCATTATTCTGGATCGATTGCGCTGGACGAAAAGCAGGATTTGCAGAGAGTGGATATCCGGAAACACTAAGCCTTGATGAAGGACGGTTATTCATTGTTGGTGTAATTGGAGTAACAATGGGTGAATTACTGCGACTCAAATTACGTGACGGACTAAAATGTGCCGAGTTTGTTTGTCCATTATTGTAAGGTGGTGCAAACACACTAAGATTTCTCGAGTTTCTTTTGCTATGTGTACGTTTTAAAGTTGTTCCGGAATTATTAACTCTATCCCAACCAGTAGCATCGCTGCTTTGAGAGTTAATTTTAGAGACAACAGAGTGTCGTCTATCAACTTGATTTTGCTGTTGCTGCAAAATTTGTTGTTGTTGAGCTTGTTGTCTCGCTTCTATGATAGCTTTTTGTTGCTGCTTCAATTTCAACGTGTTACGAACTTGTTCCATAACTTCTGGATTATTAGTTACTTTAATATTATTCGAAGTGACAGGTGAAATAGTGACTCTCCTTTTCTTTCGTATACGTGTGTCATCATCATTAATTAATGTAGATAGATCCGTTGTTGATGTGTTTGACGAGGCGGGTGATTGAGGTGATGATTTTGAAAGGTGATTTGGAGATGAAGGATTGAAGGAATGCTCACTTCCCGAAAGAATCGGTGATGATGATTCTTGTTTGATCAATAGATTTCCTCTGGAAAATATTTTAAGAAAATTAATAAATTACAAATAGATATTTCCAATATAATATACATATCTAATTAACTAACCTATCTGATCCATTAGGAGAAACAATGCGTTCGACCGGCGACGCTACTCTTGATTCATACCTTCTGTTATCAGATTCATCATTATCAAGAACTTCTTCGAGTGACATGCGTTTTCTTGTGTTGACAGGGGAGCAAGGATGGCAAAGATGACGTTCAGTGGATGATGGTGATGGTGAAGTCATGATCAATGGCAGGTCTTCACGAAATGAATGTGGTGGACTATGCTGAATTGTTGTTTTAGGCGTCAATGTGGGTGAAGGTATTATATTGTTTCTAGAGTCCATAGAGAAAAATTCAAATTCTGCCTCGATGAAAGATCCTCGAGAAATTGAAACGCTATTTAATATACGATCAGCATGACCTGCCAGTATTTCCTGTTTACCCAGTTTACAAAATTCCGCGAGCAAATGGTTACCAAATCGAGTTGCAGTTGAATTTAGAGCACGAGTCGACAAATATAAATCCCCTGAATGTTCCTGAAAACAGTGGCCAGGCATATCGAAATACATCTTGGGTATTTTTCCGGAATTATAAATATATCCAACGCGTGACTCGAAAAATATCACGTCTATATCTCGTAGACGATAACATTCTTGTGTGTGTTGTGATGAATCAGTTCGAAATTGTGACAAAGGGCCTTCTTGTGATGGTAGTGGTGACTGGACCACGGGAAATAAATATAAACAGAAGGGTTGCTGGTTGGCGTAAACACCAAGTTGCAATCTGGTGAGTAGCATATTTAAAAGTGTAAAAAAAGAATGTAAAAAAATAGTTGGAATGGGGCGGAAGTTAATGGAGTACGGTTAGGAAGGATTAGGTATTGCTGAAACAGCAGTATGGTTACGGTGGTTAAGGATGGTTTGTTTCAAGGAGGAGAGGAGAAAAAGGAGGAGTAGGAAGACGAATTAAGGAGAGAAGGGGAAAAATAAAAGAAAGTAAAGTTTCGGACGAACCGACAATTATAAGGAGAGAAAAAGGTGAATAAGAGAAAAAAAGACGAATAAATCGCAATAATGTTAAATACAAACTTTGTGATCCTCTGGGGTTAGCGTTAGCTAGCACAGCAGACTAATACTATGAGTCAAAAACAGACCAATAACAAAACAGTGTTGGTGTGTGCTTTCGCTGTTGAGGAGGTGGTGGTGGTGGTGGTGGTTGCTGTTTTGCTAAACAAACAAAAAATAAAAGAATGTGTTAGATGATAATAATATCAATAGTAATTATTATTTGCGCATAGGGGATTAATGAAAGTATATAGTAATAAAGATCTTTCCAAGACCCTTCTATTACTATTTGTACTATTTGTCGAGAAAAGAGGATTGATCGAAAGAAAGAATGAATGTGTGTAATAATAATAGTAATTGTAGATATAATATAATATTATATCTATTGAACTCGGTTTCAAGAATTCATATCACCAAATTTAAACTTCTATATTGGTGTTATAGTTACAATAGAATCGGGATTTTTATTATTATTTACCTTGTGTTTCACATGTAATTATATTTCATTTACTCGCGTCTTGTGTCATCGATAATACTGTTAGGAAAATTATCCGAATTTGTGTTAAGGATTTTCGGATATAGATTGCTTTTTATTTGATAATCTCTTAAATAGCTAACTTAATATGGGAATCAAAAAATAGAGTTTATCGTTATTCAGTAATTTATGGGAATTTTATCGTTATGTATATGAGATAAACATAACCGATAACGATAAGGGAATTAATCAGTTCCGGAACAACATTTGATGAAATTGCGGATTAAATTTTTGATCTATTATTATTATTATTATTATTTATTGTTCTTTCATATTTATGCTCTAGAATTTTATATAAACGGTTTCGAAAAAAAATATTTTAATTCAAAAGAAAATTTTACAACACGAAAAGGTGCCAACATCACCTCACTCACTTCCTCTTCTCCGAGTGCAAAGAGTGATTAAGGCTTGAAAAATGGATTTGATGAATGATATTGAAAGAAAAAAAATCTACAAGAAAAGAAAAGATAATGAAATCTAGTTTACGTTATAAATTATTAATAAAAAAATCTAAAGTGTGTGCACTAGTGAAACCGTTTGATTCGTATACAATACACTTCAATGATATTTTGTTTATATTGATAGGAATTTCAAAAAAGGTGACATTGCTGTTGTGGTAGCTGCTGATGTGGCTGTTGCCCCGACTCACCTGTTAATGAAGTGGATGTATTATTATGATTACTACCATTATTACTATTGCTGTTGTTGCAACTACCACTGCTACTACTATTAGAATTATCACTCGCGGTTGATTGATTTCCCTCAACTCTATCGTCTGAAGTAATAAATGTCGGGGTCATATATGCATTTCGCGTATCATTCATCAGTGACATTTCTTGTGATAGCTGAGTAGAATCTTCATCCATTAATTGTTCTTGATGTGACGACGATGATGGAGGTGATGTTTGTTGCTGTTGATTATTATTACTTTCTCCACTTTGATCATCACCACTATGCATCATATCTTCGAGACCTTCTTCGAATCCAGAATCCATTCGTTCTTTTTTCCTCTTTTCATACCATTGATGCTTACGTTCTTTGCCTTTTAGCGATGACAATTCTTTAAGTATTTCCTCGCGCTCTTTTTCTAAATCTATAATAACAAAATGAGCTTTCTCTGCTCCCTCTGTATCTCCCATTTCACTTTTAGTACGTTTCGTCTCCTGCATAAGTTCATTTTGTTTATCTTTAGCTTCTAGTTTCTGTTCCAGATCTGCAATACGAGCATTACGATTCTCACTGGTCATCACTGCATTAGCATTCCGTTTTGCACGTAATACATCACGGGATGCTCGTTGACCAGGCCTAGGAGCATTCGGATTCAATTTTGATCGGGATGCACCACGTTTATACGAGTACCCCTCGAGCAACAGTTTCGCTTTTGCTTTCTCGAATAATGATCCTTTGTGCGTTACAAGTGTTGGATCGGCAAGAGCGAGGTCGATAGCAGCTCGATTGATTGCTTGTTCGTATTGTGTCAGCTGTCTCGGGCTGTTTTTGCCGTAGATTGTTGCGTGTTTTACAATTGCTTCGTGTGATACGGTTGGATTTTTCATGAACGTTCGATGACTTGAAGGAGAAATGTTACCGTTCTCGCTATTGTTGTTAATGTTTGAATTATTAGCGTTTGGAGATTCAATAGTAGTCCCAGTAATTAGAATCGGAGATTCAGTTTCTGAATTTGAAATATTTAATATAGAAGGTGATGATGATGACGATGGTGATGATGTCATTTTTACTTTTTTCCGTGGTGGCGTTGTATTATTATTATTATTATTATTATTGCTACTATTGTTATCCGGCATATTAAGAATATTACTATTGATAGTGTCATTAATACTATTATTACTATCATGGATTGAACTAATTGGACTTGTTAGAAGGGTGATCTTTGGCGTCTGATTATGAATTTGCATGGGTGCCGTCAAATGTGATGGTGATGGCGACAAAGGATGCTGCGGTGACATAGTCATCGAGTATTGCGGAGAAAAACAACTATTGGCATTATTATATGCTTTAACATCTCTCGGACTATTGATGCTCATATTCGTCCTTAATTCCCTTATCCCTTTTTTAAACAAGCCAGAATGAAATGGTTTCATCAAAATCGCCTCTAACACCTCTTTTAATTCCGCCTCATCAAACCCAATCAATTGTTCCACATCATTCTCCCCAACGCCCGCTTCGACAAACCGACCATGATACTGAGTGAGGTTGAGCTGGTGAAGAAACTCGGACAGAGTAGGACAACGAAACACACTAGTAGCACTATTTGCGTGGGTCAGGGGTATTGAAGGAACTATGGCAGTAGAGGAAGAGGTGGCGGGGAATAATGATAAATTGGATGAGGCTGTTGTGTAGTATGCAGCGGCATTTGGAACAAAATTCGCATTGGTTATGTGGTGGTGTGCTGCCGGTGTATTTAGAGGGGTGGAAGAGGAAGAACCGAAGGTTGAGCGACCTGTTGCTTCTTTATTTCCGGTGATTGGTGTGGATGCCATTCTCTGTTTAGTTTAATGCAGTGGGGGTAAATTGTGAAAATACATTACCATTTAAACATTTTGACACGCACAACGTAGACTGAGAAAGAGACGGCAACTTTGTCTACACAGAATTAGTTTGTATTTATCACTATTATCCGTTTTTTGCCGCTACTACTGCTACTCGACTACAAAAAAGTTGTACGTGAGAAAGAATTATTGACCCACGCTTTACCTTGTCGTTTATTACGCGAACCGTGTTTTTTTTGTTTTAGAGAGAGTCAGTAGTCAGTCAACTGCTCTGACGCTCATTTGTATTTTTGTAGTGAGTATTTGTTGTGTATAGTCGTGGGAAAGTCAGGTCCCTTTTTATTGTTACATTGTCATGTTTCTATAGATTTCAATTGATTGGCTCGCTCACATGTTCGACAGTATACATATATCGATATCGGATATCGGAGAACACCGAATATGGATGCGTGTATGCATGTGTGAGTGATACCTCACTCTCTCTTACCTTTAGGTCGGTCCGTCGTTGATAGATTATTTAGTTTATAATTAAATTGACGCAAGTTATGAGGATATTGGGTGGATGTGTAAAAATTTGACTTTGGTGACATTTAATATTCTTTTGGATCAAGTTCGATTATAAACGCATACACTCTACTCTCAAAAATCACCTTCAAAAGATCCAAGCGGAAAGAATATTCATCCCCTATGCTAATAAATCCGAATTATTATCATTGACTATGCATGCAATGCATAAAAATGTATATATGTACGTATGTTTATGTTTACAACAAATAATAATGATATTAATAGTAGTAGTAGTAGTAGGAAAGGGAATATTTATCTTACAAAGGAATTTTGATGTTTATTTATAGAAGGGAAAAAATGATGATTATAATGGATTTAGGTTAAGGGGGAAGAAAGGCTATTATAATAGGTATAATTATAATAGATATAACTAAGCAAATTAAAAGGAATGAATTTAGATGAATAAAGGTTTTTAAGGGAAAAACGTGGTGTCTAATTGTAGTAGTAGGTAAATACAATATAAAAAAAGTCATTTTCAATTTTTAACTTGATTTTTCTCGAAATATTTCCCCCAAAAATAACCAATTGATTGCATTAATTTAAAAAAATCTTTGTCTCTCATTTCCTTTAACAAATAATATTATCATTAATAATATAGTCTTCTCACCTCGATACTCGTCAAATAAAATCCCAAAATAATTTTAGCATACAAGTGATTATTTTTACCAACTAAAAGTCCAAAACTTTATCATGTAATCCCTCCAAATATCTAAACAAACTTCCCTTCTTCTTATCCCATTGATTATGCCAATGATACGCAAACACCTGAAGTAATTTATCCTTATTGAATTCATATTCGTCAAAAGCGCTCGGCATTGAATTGCTCGGATGACAAACGGATGGATCAGTAAAACACCAAGGAAGCACTTTAAATGGTTTTTTCCTATTTTGAATTAATCTTCGAAACACTTTATAATACAGACGGCTTCCCCAATCGATTGTATCCTTCCTGGGTGGTGGTCCATGTGCCATTTCCTCAAGTAATTCACATACATATGGTGATTTTTCGCGGAATCGCATGAATGCTCCATTCAGTGGTGATCCATCAGGCAGGAAACAATCCCATTGTCCAACCCATTCATGTTCAATTAACGGTGACAAGTCACGAATGAATAGTGAGTCCATGTCGAACCATACTCCGCCATATTTGTATAGTACTAATAATCGTATCAGGTCACCATCGAGATATGCATGTTTATCTTGTAGCTTCAAATTCGGCGAATTTTCAATTGCCGTGTCTTTGGATTCCACTTCAGGATCATATATCTTCGTCTGAAATCGGTCCGGGAATCGTTCAAAGAACGGCTGGAGAAATTCATTTTTCGAAAGATCCCCATTCGACCATAGTATCAGCGACGAATAATTGCTATCCTGTGTCGCAAAGAACGAACGCAGCGTAGCGACCTGTTTATCCCCTAACGACCTTAGATCAGCGCGCCAATATGTATGAAAAGTAATGTCCTCTTTCGGTTGACCAGCTAACATTTTAATACCCTCCGCGAAATCATAGCAGTCCCAACCGCTAGTCAGCGGAACGGCCGGGTGAACTTCATTATAAATTGGTTTGGTCAGATTTTCCTCTGGAATGTTGTCAAAGCATCCATACAAGCTTTCATTTCGAAACTCTTCCTTCACCACCCATTGGCGCAAGTATACCCGCATGTTTAAGTGTAACTCGCATGTTGAAAAGAATATAATTACCGCCAAGATGACGAGTAATATTGTTGTCTTGAGGATCGTTATGCATTTTATCCGTTTGGGAGATTTTGGCCATGGTGCATTCAGCCGAATATATGGTGTTGTAGCCATGACTCTATTTTAACTGCCAATTTTGCTAGTCTGTTGCTACTTCTAAATTATTATTATATTATACAAAATCTTAAAAAGAAGGATTTTGCCTTAATTTCTCGCCGAATAAATCCAAGTTCAAAAGATAAGGCTGATGAATAAAAAAAATGACAACAATTGAAATCGGAGAAATGGTTCCAAAATTATGCCTATCGCTATTCGTCATTTTTGCGCAATTTCCCAAATTAGCATGGTGGATCTTTGAACACTATACATACGTATCGATAGAATTTACATTTCAGAAGATAGAAATTTCCCTGCTAATTTTATTAATTGGAGTCAAATTTAAATTTAAAATTGCATATATAAAATTAAGAATTTTCCTGTAAGAGATAGATAGAATCCAAAACAAGTCTAATAATCAATAATGTTTATTATTTTTTACATTTAGGAAATTCCAGTTTTACCTGGCCAAACAATTCACAAAATATAATCTAACAAGCAGAACATCTAAAAACATCACAAAAATAGAACAATTTATATTTATTAAAACTCAATAATCAGTATATTGAAGAATAAAAATATGAAGAAATTCTTTTTTTTATAGTTATTTTGATTCAAAGTTGAATAATTTTATTAATAAAAATTATTATAGCATATTAATATCAAATTAACATAATAATACTGGAAATAAAATTAGCAAAATAATAAAACTATTTTTCAAAAATTTTAGTTTCAATATTAAGTAATAAAATTATTTATTTATAGTAAATTTTCTTAATAAAAATTATTAATATTTTTTTAAACTTAATTAACAAATCAAGTTTGTATTTGAAAATAAAAGTTTTGAATTAATTTAAACTTTTTGAGTTTAATATATAATTATTTAATTTAATTATTTATTATATAAAATAAAATTATAATAAAATATTTTTATTTGTATTTCAAATCTGTTTTTTGTTATAATATTTTCTTATTTATTATAATATTTCTTTTTATTTTATATATTTTATTTTTTAAAATATAATTTTATATATTTATTTAAGAATTAAAATATATAAAACATTTTATTTTATTTGATAATTAAATAATATATGATATTAATTATATAACTAATATTATGCAAAGTGTAATATTGGTTAAATTTATCTATTTTATAATCAATTTATATAAATAAAGATATATATTTAATTCTTTTAGTTAATGCATATTTATAGTCACATCCCTCTAAAACTACTCTATTTTGCTTTCCTATTTATATATAAACATAGTAAAAAAAAACTCTTTATAGTTATATTCTCTTTATAATTATCAAATTTTGCTTTTTTGAGAGTGATAACTATAAAGGAATTTGATTATAATAATTTAAATATATTAAAAAAGATTTAATATTATTACAAATTTGTTTATTAATTAGAAAATTAGCTTATAAATTTGAATAAGAATTAAAAAAATTAAAGAAATCTGTATAAAATTCTAATATTTATAATTTTGATAATATATTATTACAATATGAATATTTAGTTTTTATTTTATTGGTTAATTCATATTATAATTTAATTGAATAAAATTTTGTTATATTTTATTGATTAAAATTAGTTTTAATACTTTATTATTGGTTTTTTAATATCAGCAATACCAGCAACAATAATAACATCAATAATATTAATAATACTAATAATGCTTGTATAAATGATAAGTAATATTAATAATATTTGTAATCAAATAATCTATAAGATTAGTGCTGTTAACAAAAGTAATTATTATAAATATAATATATATTTTAAATAGGATTAAATAAGTTTCTTAAATTTTAAATTTCTCTATGTTAGAATTAATAAGTAATTAATAATTCAAAAAGTTTCTTGTTTAATAGAGACTTTAGATAATTTGTAAAAGTTATATTTGTATTGGTTTTTGGTCTTGAAAGATAGATCACTTATAATAACCTATTATTATTGATTTAAAAAATAATCACTTGATAAAACTTATTATTTGTATTATAATTTTTAAAGTACTAAAATAAATATATTGATATAATCTAAAATTATCTCTAATTTCTTAAATTCTTAATTTTGATTATATAATAAAATATAGATTGTAGAGATAACAGAGTTCTCAGATATGTTAATATTAATTGTTATATTATATTTATCTAATATTGTTACCGTTTTGATAGGACTTTCGAAATACTCAAAGGTATTTATAAAATTTAAGGAATATTCAAAGGGGAAACTTCCAATGTCTTAATGACAATTCAAAGTCTAATAATACTTTATGGCTTTAGACTGAATATGAATTAAAGTACGACAAGTACTTATAGAATCACTTAAAGGTTGGTAACAATTGTGTTCTTTTA